TCCTGTATACTTCTTTGTATTTCATGCTACGGGTACCCCCGTGTCATACACTGATGAGCTCGTCGGCAGTGTCCAATCTGTACAAGAGACAGGCCCTCTCCCCCCCAAAAACAAATGAATCCTTAAAATCTTAAAGTGTTGGAGAAAGAAAGAAAGAAAAAAAAAGTTCCGATGGATTTATCACTAACGAAGGGGGAGAGAAGCCCGTCCCTGTTCAACTATTGTACCGAGTACTTCATCGCATCCGCACTTGTGGGTACGTGGGTACATAGTACGAGGTACATAATAGTAGATACATACGTGCACGGCTAGTCCACGTACAGTTACTCGGGGAACATGTACCGAGCACACATATTACTGTACGCACTTAGTCAGTAAGTACCTCGCGCTGCTCGTCTAGACTATTTACCGTAGATGCGTATCAAAATTTACCAAATATCTCCGGCGACACGCCGGGCAACGGCCCCGCGGCCCCCCGCCCCCCCTCAAAAAAATCACGACATGGTGCTGAGGAATGGCGAACTCCTTTTGAGGCCCAGATGATTCTGCGTCAAAAAAACCAAGAAGGAAAAAGAGAAGGTGCGGTCTTGTCCGCTCTACCAGTTCGGTGCGAGGCAGCAAGGCGAGTCGAGTCGAGTCGAGCCGAGAGGAGGGAAGGAAAGCGGGAAAATGGGAAAATGGGAAAGGGCGGAGGGAGGGAGGGAGATGAGAGATCCGAAGAACCACTTGACAAGAACCCTCTACAGGGAATGATGGTGCTGCTTCTGTAGCTTCATCCGTGCAGAAGTTGGCAGGTTGGGCTGGATTGCTTGTCTACTCGTAGGTAAAACTGTTGGCGTCCATCTATTATCTCTCTCTCCCAAATTCTATCGCATCTATTGCATCTAAAGCTCTAGTAGTCTAGTCTATCTTTTCAGGTAGCTCGTAGTATAGATCACCCAAGAATATATCAAACATCTATTCATGCCATGTCATGTCGTCCCCTCCAGTCCAACACCTCTCAACAGCCACCTCCCCCAACGTCCTCTCTATCTCCCCCTCACCTCCTTGACCATCCCGCGCACTGCCCGCGCAATCTCGTGCCGCCCGTCGTAGATCGGGTAGACGATGACAGAAAACATGGCGCCGAAATGCCAGATGATGGCCACGGTGACCCACCCCCCAAAAAAGCTCTTGGTGAAGATCCAGTCGCGGTACAGCGGCAGGGGCCAGAGGACGATGGTGACCAGGACGTTGACGACAAAGTAGGCGCTGGCGATCTTGAACCACTTCCTGATGTGGCGGAGGGTCGCGTCGTCGAAGGGGTGCACCACTTCGTCGAGGGGCACTTGGGCGTTTCGTTGACGGGGCTGTGCCACACTGCGGGTCGGGGATGTCCCCTCGCCACTGGTGCTGGTGATGTATGCCTCTTTCTCCGACGTGTCCGCCGTCTTGGACGTCTCGTTGACGGCTTCGCTGCTGGGTAGGGTCGACTGCAGCGTGCTGCTCGGCTGGCTCTTGTCCTCGATCAGGTCGATTCGGAGGAACTCGCGCCAGTCGAACCGGCCCGGCCAGAGCAGAGAGATGATAACAGAATAGAGCGCGGGGGAGAAGAAGGAGACAATGGCCGCGTAGAGTCCGGGCACCTGAGCCTGCGTGGTTTGGATGTTGATCGCCCCGGCCCACGCCCACGACAGCGAAAGCCACGTCGCGATACCCGACAACAAGCCCAAAATGGGACTGAGGATCGCCGCTAGCTTCGTCTGTCGGGACCAAAGAAGCGTCAAGATCATGGGCAGGATGCCAGGACACGCCACAATGGGCCGGAAGTAAGTGGACCAGTTGTTGGTGGCGCCGGCGTACTCGAGCATGATGGCGAAGCCGGCCATGAAACACCCGTGAAAGACGACGCCCCAGTGGCTCACCTTGAGCGTCCGGCGGTCGGATGCACCGGGGTCGATGTACGTGCGGAAAAAGTCCAGAGAAATGATGCTGCTGACAGCGATCATGGATGAAGACACCGTGCTGGTGATGGCCATGAAGATCAGCACAAGCAGCCCAGCAGTGGCACCGGTTCCAAGCAGCGACCTGAGCACATATGGCATCACCAGCCCCGAGTTGACTTGGGTGAGTGTCAAAGTGTTGGGATAGTCAAACCAGACTGGAGTCTTTTCGATGGCGCGGGCGCTCAACCCGATGATGGTACCCGTGCACCAAGGGATTGCCAGGATGACCACAGACACAAGGTCATAGGCTGGCACAGTCGAGTGAACTTCGGAGGCGAAGGCCTTCTGCCAAAAGGCCGTGTCCATGAGCACCAACGCAAGGTTCCCGAACTTCAACACCAGGCCAAAAAGGAGCGCTGTAACATCCACATTAGCATAACTTGTTTGACACGCCATGACCGATGTGTCTTACAGCTCTTGGACTTCATGGTCAACAGTGAACCCTTGTAGTTTCCGGGGATATAGTCGTTTGTCGCCTTGACTTTTTCGTACAAGCCCGAGATTCCCCCGATGTGCTCGTTCGTCAAGACGGCAAGAGAGAAGTATATCAGCAGGATCAGAGCGATGAGCGTATGCAGGTAATCGGTTAAGAAAGTTGCCTTTAAGCCGCCAACTGCTGTGTAGGTGACAACTGTTTGATAGAAAGGTCAGTCAGTATTCGCAAAGCATAGTTGGCCTAGACCGACTTACCTCCAGCAGGAATCAGGATACAGGCAGCGATAACGTGCATTCCGGTCATGCCAGTCACCAATTGAGCCCCTGCGAGGATCATGCTGCCACAGCCAAAGACGTTGTTGACCAGGTTGAGGAGAATGAACAGCCAATGCGCGTATTTGCCGTATCTCATTCTGATGATCTCGAGTGAGGTATGCGCATACGGAACCCGCAGTTTGGCAACAATTCCAAGCACCGCCATGAGCGCAATCTGAAAGGACAGTCCACTAGCCCACCATATCGGTAACGCGACGCCCCAACGGTAGGTATAGGCAGCCGAAAAGACGCTCTCATTAATCCACATCCTAGATAGATCCATCATGGTCAGCACTTTGCAGACACCACCGGCATTCCAACTTACCAACTCGAGAAGACAGCCGAGGCCGTCAATCCAGTACCAACGGAACGGTTGGCAACCATGAACATCTCGGACTGATCGCTGTCCTCCGAAAGGTACCTCTTCTGGATGCGGACGGCGGCCAGGATAATGAGGCAGAACAGCACCGACAGACCAATGATGATCCCATAGCCGTCGGCTTGAGTGAGGAGTTGCACGGCCATCTTGGAAATTAAGTAAGCCTAGCAATGGAAAAGTGAGATTGAGACGATATATGTCGTGGGGATTCATCTTCGAGCTACTTATACCGTTGCTGCAGTATATGCATCCACAAGCCACGTGATATGGGAACCGACTCCCACGCGGTATCATCGATGTAGTGCTGACCCTGCCATTCCGTACCGGAGTAAATAGCGAAGAACCGGCAAGGTTATCTTCTGAGTGTCGAGTTCAGGTTCTTTCATTTGCTGAGACGTTCTGCGTGGATTGAAAATCGCGTGCTGAGGTGGTGGAGCAACGTGATTGCGTTATGCGGCTGTCGCAGCACGCCATGAGAAGTCGAAGACTCGCAAGTCCGCATATGATAAATCCTCATCAAACATGGCGAGTTTGCTAGACAATTAGCTTGATGCGGCAATTGACAACGGTTGACTTGGGCTGTGTCCGTCGAAACAGACCTCTGCCGTGTGTTGGAGCCTTAATCCTTGTAACCGACTTCTCGCGTTTCCCGTGCCACGTTGGTCACCTCTTCCGAGTTGAAGTGAATATCAGACTGAGCCTGGCCCCACTGCAGAAAAGTCACAGAGGGACCGGTACAAAAATAAAATCACTAGTATATCAGTTTTCTCTTTCCAAATTCTGGCACGCAAAGACCCCCTTAGCACAACAAGGGCAAGTACCGAGTTCGAATCCCGATTCCACCACAATCTGGGTCCTGTCAGGTCAAACCTAACTCCGGGTTAGCAGGCATCAGGACCCCGATTCGAATCCCTCCTCCTTCCCTCGATCGATCGATCCGACGACATCAACCATTGTAGTAAAAAATTCGTAGTATAACCGGCCGGCCGAGAAAAAACCAACCCGCAAGGGCGAGTTTTCCTTATCACAGACCAGTAGGTTGAGCTGTTCTGTGGTTAAGTTTTTTGCCATTTTGCGCGAGGGACAGGGGAGATTTTCTCTCTGAGATTTTGTTCTTGTGTGATTGTGGGAGTTGCAATAGTCAATTACTCTGTTAGAGGGAAGGTATGGCGCGAGGCTGAAAAGTGCCTTCTTCGCGAGAATTCCACCAAAGTCACGGCCTGGAGGATCAATAGTCTAGCAGAATTCTTTCGCTAAGGGACTTCAAGAGTGAACATGGATGTTCCTCTTCATCAACAAGATCACTCCCCCAGCCGTGTCAGAACTCCGAGAGGATCTGATGGGCAACCTTCTGGGGCTCGACAACTTCTGGGAGTCTTTGTAAAATCTTGTCGATCACTGTTTGAAGTGAACTGTAGAGGAGGAGGCTCTTGGTTAAACATCCTTGAAATGTTGCGTGGATAGAACAAGGCGAGATGACTTGAAGCACCCAAGCCGGTCTTTGCTGGAATTGGACTAGCCCCGGTGCAGGCAAATGCTTTTTATGCTTCACTTTCTCTCTGCACAGGAAGACGTTGTTAAGAGACACAAGTACATCAAATACTTCCGATCGCAGGAGAAATTAGTTTCTCGGTTCGCTATGTACGTCACACAGGTAATCTTCCTCGCATATGTACACACGCTTTCCAGGCTCACACAAATCAAACCAGCTCCATGTCCTCTGCGCGCTTTTGCCCAAAATAAGCCCATTTACTCTCCGCCATGGCAAAGGTCGTTATTCTCCCCGGAGCCGACTTGGGCCCTGGGGGCAGTTTGCTGTATATCTCGTATATTTCGTGCATGCTGTCCCTCTCTTTTCTCATAAGGGGAACAAGGTCGCTGCTGCTCGTAGGAGGCAGAGGTGGCGGTGTCTCTGCGCGGATGAAGTCGTCCATCTGAACCCCAAACTTCCCGCGCAAAGGTATGGAGGGTTCTTCCCCCTGCATTCTGGGATGCAACATGTTCGCGGACGGTAAGGGCACTGAAGTTTGTGGGACTAATACATCTTCCAACTCCAGCTCTCGTGGTAGTGGAGGCGGGGATTCTGCCTCTGGGGTCCTAGCGCGTTCGATTGGTGGTGGCGAGAGCACTGGGCTTGGTATTGGTCTAAGAAATGCCGCTGTCATTTCAGGAGCCACTGTGGTTTCTGTCAGTGGTAGAGACACGTTAATGTCCAATTCAGCACTCTTTAGTCTCCCTGCTTCAAGTCTCGTCTTGATTGTGTGATATACCGCGAACAGGAAGGTCAAGGTGCTGAAAACCCCCACAATGCCCAGGATTATGAGAGCGGAAAGTGGCAACATTTCGAGGCCGTGAGACGTTTTGAACCGTCGGTTTTCTATTGTCAGTGAGCCAGCTATGACATACACCCAACAAAGATGGTTAGAAGGTGATCCGCGGTAACCGACAGGCCCGGTGCTGCCTGGCTCTCTTTGAGGTAAGAGGGACAAAGAACTCTTCCTTGGGAAACTCTTTGGTGCACCGAAAAAAACACTGAAATGAGGATAAAGCGGACTGAACGCTTTCAGAGTCCCAAGACTGTGCGACCGGCAGATGATACTCGCTCTGTCAAAGAAGTTGATCTGGTGAGATATTACTATGTAGTGATGGGGTCTGCGATGACGTTCCCAAAGACTTTGTCATCCACCGCCTTTCCAGCTGCTATCTTCTTGTCGTGACGGATCTTGAGCGCAAAAAGATAAACGATGGCGAGAATCAGAATAACTCCGGCGAACATGGAAATGAATAGCCAAGCGACCGGGCTCATTGTGTGATCGGACGGAGCCATTGCTCACTGGGAACAAGCGGTTCTGAATGACATGCGACTGTGAAGGAATGGACTAGAAAAGCGAAGTTTGTTGTTCGTACCTTTAAACATGACATGGAATCTCGTTCGACCTGGGATTCTGTATGTCTTCTTTGTGGTTGTTTCCGGAATGTCCGAGCAGGGCTTTGTCCAAGTCAAAGAATCATCAGGGAATGCCACTGATCGGAGCACTGTGGCGAGCGGTAGCGGAAGAACGATGGCTCTATGAAAGAGCCGTGCATCAAGGAAAGGTGACTTTGTAGTTAGGAACCTGCTTGCTCTTCCTCATGGTAGCGTCGCAAGATAGCTGAGCATACGCCATGAAGGCATTGAGAGGCCTTGGCATGAGATTGCTCATGATTGTATAGCCAGAGCTAAACCAAGATGTCCGAAGTGAGGTGATAACTCTCAAGATGAATAAGGCGGAACCCACAGTAAATGTACATCCGTTGATCAGGTACTGTACGCTTCTCTGCGGTTTGAAGTCATTAAGTGCAAGTCCAGGTCATCAATTCAAAAGACAGTGTCATTTGATATGCAATGCACCCACTTTGCCTAATTTGGGTTAGACCCGATTTCATTGGCCCCTGATCGCGACTTTCAAAGTCCCGCAGCGCAGAAACCGCGTCGAGCGCGCAGGTTACAACCTGGCCATCACCAACCCTAGGTACTCTCAATCTCAATATCCAGCTTACCCTCATTATTGCTGCTTCGGGACCCCAAGCACTTTGTCGATATTCCCTACTGGACTCAGGAAAGAGCGCGCAAAATCAACTCGGTACCATTCCTCAGCTCGGATATTCCCAGCCACCTCCATCAACCCAGCGCAATGTCCTTCCTCCTTTCACCAGCCAGGCGCTTGACGTCGACGCTCCCCTCCCTGTCACAGCGCACATTCTCAACGACTCGCCCGTCTCAACTGGCCCGCATGACCCTGGTGGGGAGGCTCGGCGCAGACCCCGAACTCGCAGACACAGGCAAAGGCCAAGTGATTAAATATGTCGTGGGCACCAGTTACGGACCAAAGGAGAACCGACAGACGTCGTGGTTCCGTGTCGCCAGCTTTGCGCCAGAAGGTTCGCCCCAGCGAGATCTCGTGATGGGATTGACCAAAGGGTAAGCACATCGGTCACACCTTTTCCAACAAATAACTGATCTCTGGCCCAAACAGAACCCTGGTCTATCTCGAAGGAGATGCCACCATGCGCACCTATGAGGACTCAGACGGCAAAAAACAGAGTTCATTGAGTCTGGTCCAGACAAAGGTCGAAGTGTTGAAGAGACCGCAGCCAAAAGAGGAGGAGATTGCGTAGGAAGGGTGTCAGGGTTTGATAAGACACAAGGGCTTTAACTACCTCGACATAGCTCAACTTCCTAGGTGCGTTCGTCATTCGCTCAGGTCATGATAGTTGGACGATACGATACTGTTCCTGATTGTTGTATTGGATCCCTTCTCCGATTGTATTTCGCCACTCTTGGGTTTGCTGGGCGGTGATGGCAGCGCCAGTCACCTACCAGCGGGATTATCTAGGAAAGATATGTATTTCAAAAGCCGAAAGGCCGGTAATCAACGAGTTTTCCAACACAACGATCCAATCGACCTGACTCGCAGAATGTGCTTCCATCAATTGTTTGTTCCTGAGGTTGATCCTGAGGTTGACGGGTGTGCCGCCGGATTGTGGTTATCTAGATGAAATTCCTCCACAACGAATGTGACATTTGTCTCATCTCCAATCAAACGGCTGTGGCGAGGTGAATGATGGATTGTGTCGACATCTCTTTTGAACCCTCCACAAAGGACGCCCCTCGCTCTTGCAGCCCACCGCTTGTACATCCCGATCGCATCCTGACCTAAACCGAAGCACACGAATGAGATATATGCCGTGACGACTTGTGCCCAACGGTCAAAGGTAAATGCCTGCGATGCTGCTTTCGGGTCGGGATCCGGCTGTAGGATGATTCTCTCCGACCAGTCGGAGGGATGGATGTATGACCAGGAATACATGTGCATTGGCACACGAACGTTTTGCACAAAGGCAAATATGGCCAGCGGACAATGCATCGCCAGGAGGGCGAACGCAAGTGCGAACAGCCGGAAAAATCGGGAGGCCGTGGCGCCAGGGGTGTGCGAGAGCAGGGCCGAGACCTGCTTGCGATGCCGCGAGAAGCGAACGACCGAGATCACGCAGTAGATGCTTCCGATGACACAGACAACCATGGGCCAGCCGTAGCTGACAAAAGGGGCCACCCAGTTGTTGTCGTAGGACGGCACACAGCCCGCCACCGTTCTGAGCCAATATCTTTCTCTTTGAACCAAGTAGTGACCAACCATGACGAGTATAGGCAGTAGAATGCAAAGCAGGAGCTCTATCGTGCGAGTAATCCTGAGATCTTGCGGGCAAGGGGTAGCGGTCATGCGGTCCGGGTCGAGGATTATCGAAATCTGTCGGAACATGCTCGCGATGGCACCAGCAGCGGCCTGGGATACCCCAATGTAGAGTTTGACCTCAATATCACACAGTATTTTCCCATCCCACCAGTCTTCAGGGTTGTCGGACGACCAGATCACGGCATTGACGACGTTTTGGACGTTCAGGATGGTGATGCCAACCAGGAGGATCGAGGCTGCAAGGTTCTTAGCGCGTAGCTGTACCACTATTGGAGGGATGGCCGCAAAGATTGCCAATAAAGCCAGTGGCACGACGACCATGAAAGAAGGATCCCACGCCATCGTTTCTGTATGAACAGATATGAATGTCCTTCTCCCACAAATGCAGAGATGAGAAAGGGATGAAGAAAACCAAGGACGGATCAGTGGACATCATCTCTCACGCCCTCCTTTAGCCACCATGACCGCACTCCTCGTTGCCTTGACTCAACTCACACGTAAACCGTGGTCCATATGGCTGGACTGGTGGGGCTCCTCAGATATCTCAGAGACATATTTCCTAAAATGGGTTTGAATAAGGCTCTGCTCAAGGCGTAGTCCTCCGGCAAACCGTGCTCGCACGTCGCGAACAGCTGTCCCTTCTAGTCCTTAGCAACTCACATGTTTGAAATCCTTGCCATCCCATCCTTGAAAGACATGGTTTTCGTCGGCAGGTTGAGACAGCCCGATATTTGAAGCAAATTCAGCGCCTAACAGTGGCCTTGCTGAGGGTGCCATGATTGAGGGTCTCTGGTCAGTTGTCCTCCCCGAAAATGAATCTATTTTCATCCAAGTGGTACACTTGACCCGTGGGTCTAAGCGGCGTCGTGATACCGAAAGCACTAGGTATAGCGTGGTGTATGACTATGAGGACAAGAGGAATACATAGAAGATGTTGGTAGGGATCCCGGAACAACCTCGGAAAATCTCATGAGGTTCCAGAGCCAAGCATACGGTGAATCATTATCCCGACTCCGGCCTTACTCTCGGGTGCCGACTTGTCAGACTCGTACGTGAGCCTCATCAGCCTTCCAGACGTTGTTGTTGATGCCACTCCTTTGCATCCTCCTTCGCGATCGCAAACTCTTGCCGGCGCTAATCTCGGGCTATATACTGTGCCTGGGCTCTTTTGAAGCGGATTTTAATGACTCTTGCGTCCTCATCGTTCTTCCATCCACCTTTGATCACCCGAGGATGTTGTGACACGTCAAAACACCCGCGGAATTCCAATCCGCCGGACTCCCTCTGCCCATAACTCTATACCTGGAACCACCACAGGCATTTCACGACCAGCATCATGGCATCGGAGAAACGTCCCTCCATCGCCATCCCATCAATTGCTTCATCCGGTCGGCAAGTCAGTCCTTCGCCACACGGCTTGAGGCAGCGACCATTGGGAAGAGCATCTACCTTTGCGGAAAACAACCCTCAGCTCAGTCGCCGTCGAAGTTCATTCCTCTCTGAAACCTTTTCAGAGACACGTAAATCGCTGCGCTCGTCTACGGATGATATACTCCTGCCGCGGGCGCGTGACGATGATGACTTTCATGACCATGACGACAATTCTCACTGGCAGTCTTTGCCACTCGGTCTTGCTTTGCTTCCCGCTGTGGGTGGGATGTTTTTCAAGAACGGTAGTGCTGTCATTACGGATGTGACATTGCTGGGCTTGGCCGCAATATTCATGAACTGGGCCCTCAGGTCTCCTTGGTAAGGAACGATCGCTTTGTGTGTTGAGCGTCGACTTATGACAGATTTAGGGACTGGTATCGTGCAGCCCAAGCCACTGTGATCGCAGACGCAGCCACCCCTCCCGTATTCAGTCCGATCGATGAAGCGGGCGAGGATCAGGATCCGCTATCAGTGAATGGAAACGGCGAAGACGGTACCAGTAAAGCGACGGCCCGCGCTGAAGCTGCTCGTGCTGGGCTTGGTACTGAGAGTTCAGCTGCGCAGAAAGAGCTCCGTGCCCACGAGCTCCTGGCATTGCTTTCTTGTTTTGTATTTCCTCTGATCGCCGCATGGCTTTTACACAGCATCAGATCCCAGCTCTCACGACCATCGGAGGGCTTGGTCTCAAATTACAATCTCACCATATTCATATTGGTTGCCGAGATTCGACCCATCTCTCACCTGATAAAGATGGTGCAGCGCAGAACCCTATTCCTTCAACGGCGAGCGAACATTGATCTTCTCAGAGAGTCAAGTCGGATAGACACTCAGCAACTTCGCGATGTCTCCCGCAGATTGGATGATCTCGAGACACATGTCGCGGACCGCATTGCCGGGACCGGAAAACAGAAAGAGGATCATGAAAATCACGCACTTGTAACTCAAGCCTCTACAGCAGCCACATCTGAGATCAGGAAAACCATACAGCCAGAGCTAGACGCCTTGAACAGGGCCATGCGTCGTTATGAGAAAAGATCCACAATCTCATCTGTGCAGATCGAGGCAAGGCTACAAGACCTTGAGACACGCTTGCATGATGTGGTTTCTCTGGCTGCGGCTGCACAGCGTAACGCCGATCGGATCCCCAACAACTACGTTCTCATTCTGGCAAACTGGGTCTGTGGTGCAGTTGTCGTCCCTGTGCAATATCTGCTCTATTTGTCCAGCCTTCCATCAAAGGCGTTGTCATCGGTCATCGCAGTTCCAAAAGGGTACATGACAAAGAAGTCAAGACCCCAAACAGCGAAAGAAGGTCGCCCATCTCGCAAGGGTCCGCCGACTCGTTCGTTGGAGCGCGAACGAAGAGCGAAGGTCCCCGCCTGAATCACCTCAAGTTGAGCATTCTCTCGGCACTACAGAAGACAACGTCTTTTCTCTGGCTGTAATGGCTCTACGACGGAGGCAACTCACTAAGCAAAGAAGGTTGATCAGTTGCTGTGCTTATCACAAACACCATGAGGGGCGTACCATCGCAAACCAGAATATGTTGCCTTTCGCCACGTGGACTCACTCTACCAACCACGCAGCCTTGTCGCGCTCGTACAAGCACATCGCTGTCGAGGCCGCGTCAAGCGAGCGGCATTATATCACGTGACGCATAGAGGTTCAAGTTCTGGATGGACAAGGTCGTATGATGCGTCCCGAAATCGCAACGTCGCAGGCATGAAGCCACCTGGTATCTCAGCATTGATCTTTGGTACGCAAGCTGGCTTTCATTACTGGATGTCGATAACGTTGTATCGCTTCTCGAATTGCAAACTTCAACATCCGAGAAAGCGTGTATACCTATCTCTTCGCCTGGCTCGACCTCATATGGAACCAGTGGTGTTTGCCGCTTCAGAATGGAGCAGGCATCACCCTCAGCGTGGGAAAATCCATACATGGAAGCCGGAAAAGTGACCAAAAAGCGACAAAATGTAACAACAAGTATATCTATTGCTTAATACTCTCTAGATCTTTGCACTCGGCTCTATTCTAGTACTCTTCATATAATATCAAACTGTCCAAAGAACTAAAACCGGCGGCAACTCCACCTTCGTCGCTGTCCTTCCCTTTAGTCCTCAAGAGGTAGCCACCCTCGGTGTTGTGTAGAAGTTCAGGCCGAGCGTCACCCGGCGTGTTTCTCCACAGACAGGTGCCGAAGATGCCCAGTTCGGAAATGACGTTGCCGCTGAGCACCTGGCCGTCACTGCGCAAAACGGTATTTCTGGCCGTGGTGGGCGGGCGGATCAGTTCCATCAGAATGTACTGCTTCCACTGCGACTTGGGGATCGAGTTCAGAAATGGCGGGATGTTGGTGCGGTAGATGTTGTTGCCGCCGCCCTCACGCTGCGGCTTCAGCACGTGGTTCGCCGCCGTCTCAACGGAGAGCGCCAGGTGGACTCCCTCAGGTTCAGCTGTTGGGTCGGAGCCGGGCCCGGCGGAGAGGGAATATTGCGGAGCAAAAGTCGAGCGGAGGGTCTGGAGCACGCCCTCCGGTTGGGTGGGCAGGAAGGTCTTGAGATGGTCTGTGTCGGGAGGTCTGGCGGTGAGGACTTGTTGGACTTTCTTGGACCCGGCGAGATGGAGGAGGACGGTGGGACATTTGACCGCCGCGCTGCGTTCCAGGTGGTGGCGAGCTGCCCACGAAGTCGGCGTGTTGTATTCCGTCGGAGCGTAGAGGGCACGGAAGTACACCACCGTGACCTCGAACGGCGTAGACGGCGACGATGGGGGAGTGTAAATCAACGGACGACAGGGATTGCTCTCCCTGGATGGGATCGACGTGTAGGCTAGAATCTTGCTGGTCGGGAGGCGGAACGAGGGGATATGATGGTGTTTTAACAGATGGGTGGACAGAGCCAGCTGGTCAAATACATTGCGCTCGTTGTCCTGGACGAGGAAAATAACGCACGTCGGCAGCCGGGGTTCTGATCTTGAAGGTCCATACGCCACATGAGCGGCCGCAAGGCCAGCGGTCAATGTTTCCACTGCCTCGTTGGGAGGAGGGTGCCCGATAGTATGAATAGAACTGTCGCCCGTCGAGTTTGCAAATAAGGGATGCACAGGATACGCAACTGAGTGCTTTGGGGAGGGGAACGTCGCAAGGTGGGTGTGCATCTCTGCAACAAGGCAAGCCAACCCGCCGAACGAGGAGGAGATGGTGTTGAATTCGACTTGTTTAAGGGATGGCGGCCCTTGTTCCGTGGTGTGCACCATATAATCAGAACGGAACATCCCCAGAGACAAGTCTTGAACGTAGCCCTCTTCCTTGACGGCAACGTGTATTTTCCAGAGATTTGCCAGGAAGTCGTCGACCTCTATTAGCCTGTATAGGGTCAGTCTTGAAAGTGTTTGCAGCAGGCCATGCCTTGCCCATCAAGCAGCGGCAAAACACAGAAAGTTCGGGGGGCAAGACAAATCTGGCAAAGTGGTCTACTCACTCTCTCATAATCTCTTCTAGCCATTGCTCGTCGCTTGCAACGCTAGCGTAGAGTTCATTGTAGACGGGCTGGATGCTTTTCGCCAGTTCAAAACACGTCTTGGGAAACGGGCTTGGAAACAAGGTGACTGGAGCATTAGTAGCGAGAACGTTCTTCGGATTCGTCTCCTTGGGGACTATGGCGGCGGATGGCCTGACGGTGAGTCCATGCTCTACGGTCCAATTTTTCACTGTCTGGACAAGGTACTCCTCCTGCTCAGGTGTCAATGCCGGAGGATAGTCATGGTAGACTTTATTGGCTGCGTTATCTGTCATGGTCTTGAGGTCAGCAAAGTGACCGAGTGATTGATGAGTGTAGTGAGACCGCAGCTGCTAGAAGCTATGTTGACCCAAATGAAGTTGTTCTATTAGCGCAAGATGTGTCTGTACTTGGAGTTCAGCACCCATTACACATTTTCTGGTGTCAGTCTCGAAGAGCCGATTAGTCAGCAAGATGTCGCGGGGCTCGCTATACTTTCCTCTCCGGCACCCGCGTAAAGTTGTTTGTCGTGTGGGCAAGGCTGAGCAAGGTAAAACGCACCTGCAAGCCAAACGGGGTAAAGCTTCACTTTGTTGTCACTCATCACTTCAACTGCCACAGTTTGGCTAGACGCCCTCCCCAGTCTCTTTCGATTCTCGGCCCCTCGCGGCGTTCTCTTCGTCGACCTAACCGCACAACAAAGACTTACTCTTTTCTCTACCATATGAACAATCTCCTGGCTCTCGCCCTCTCTCACAGAGGGCAAGGAGTTGAGTGGCGGCCTGACCCCCCTCTTCAGCCTTGTCTCAACCAACCTTCCTTTCTCAGTGCGTCTTTGACACGTTTGCGCCCAGGTGACTGACACCCCTCGCTGTGGCGTTGCCTGCGCTTCACTTCCTACTCAATTTTCCGGTGCCGTCCCGGACTCGCCAGCTTCTCATTTTCCATTTTATTTTGACCAGTTCCTGTGCCATCCTCATTCTTCCCCTGTGACACCTACCTGATGGTGCCTCAAAATGGATCCTGTTCTCGATGCCGACGAAGATCCACGAGACTGGTCAATCGATCAAGTCGTCTACGAACTCTGCCAAAGCCCGATCCCACGTTGGCTGTCAAAGCAGAAGCCTCAGTCGATCCCCGACCGCCATGGCCTGGAGGATGCGCTTCGGCGAAACCACGTCGATGGGGACAATCTCCTCGCTCTCGACATGCCAACTCTGAAAGAAGACCTAGGGATATCATCTTTTGGTCAGCGACGGGCCATTATGAAAGCTATTGAGTTCTTCCGGGCGACGTCGAGAAGTTACCAGCAGATGTTATTTCAGGCGGACAGCATTGCCAGGATGCACACAGCCACCTTTGCCTCCCCTCAATTGACCCAGTCTCGAACATCGATCGTCCCACAATCCCCTGCGCACTATGGTCTCGGCGTTCAACCGTCTATCGAGCCGTCACATACCTTGCAATCACCCATAGCGAGCCAGCAGCAGAGCGCTGTTAAGGATCCTACTTTCATCTCGTCTAAACTCGCGACTTCCAACTCTCAGAACCCCTCGGGCTCGACTCCTCGACCTCGACATTATCCTCCCCAGGACGATGTACAAACAAGATCAAGCCCTACTGCCGCAAGCCCATCAGAGGATGCTACGGTCAACTTCGCGAGTAAAGCCTGTGATCAACTTCCTCTCTTACAACATCCAGAAAGAGAATATAGCCTTGTAAATGGCAAGAAGAAGATCGCCCCAACTCTCGTCTCTCACTTACCAGAGGCAACTCCAACAAAGTTGAGTCGCGAGAGCTACCTCGGACAGGAAGCGCATCCTCTGCAAGACGTTTTCTACTGCAAAGCTCCGACTGGATTTACGGATGAGATTATCTATCAAGTTGCTGCCGAGGGACCAGATTCATTCGTCATCTCCACCAAGCGTCCTTCCGGACAACGTCGCATAATAGCTAGACTAATCAAGTCTTTCCTACGCCAAAGCACGACTACTCTATGGCCAAGCGGGCAGAAAATCAAGATACCCTATGACAGGTCTAGGATTAAACCTCCATACTCGAAACAATACTTCACTTCATTCCCACGAGGCAAGGATGGGGCAAGAGTACATAAAGTAGAGGACTTTACAGAGCTCAACGTCACTCAGGATAATCATCGGCGAGGTTCCGCCAGCATTGCTCCCGACAGCTCCAATGCAACGTGGTTGGAAGAAAAGGTAATTGGGTCCAATGTGCTAGACCTAGACTACCTTCTGGACAAGTACCCAGTTGAGTCATCCGATGGGCTTCCTCTCTATGGGGATTCTGGAGATGAAAATGATCTCGACGAAGACACGTGGAGGGAAATAGAGAAAGGGAAGGCTGAGGAAGAGAACTTGCGCCGCACATCTGTCAACATGGCGCCAGTCGAGGTTGAGGTCGCGATCAACGATGCCATAGACGAATTGAAGCAGGAATGGTACGCAACGAAGTTCTTCGCCGTCCAGAGGAAGGCTTATCGCCACTGGCTAAACGCAGCTCGACAAAACAGCCGAAAAGAAAAGATCGCATATTTCAACCACTGCAAGACTCGGTTTCTGGTCCGACTGGACATCCTCAAACGTGAGATTGCTAAAAATGTCTGGCGGACGCCAGCCGAGGTTAAGAGGCAATGCCAAAGTCTCGAATTGACCGTTTATCAGTATCACGAATACAATTACTATGGCCAGATCATGCTCCGAGACACTGCACCTCCAAAGCCCGATAACAAAGCACCAGTTCGGAGCCCAAGACATCACGATCTTGAGGAAGGCGAAGAGATTCTCGAATCTGATTCTGAGATAGAAATCTCTACAGAAGAAGGTGGGCAGTCGTTCGTGGATGAGTCGGAGGAGGAGGGTTCCATTCATCACATCCCTGATAGTGAGGACTGGAACCCTGTCATCCCAAGTACAACAAAACAGCCCGATCCATCGGTTGTGGATCCAAGGACTTCATCTCCAGCTCCTCCCTCCAATACTCGCGAGTCACCACTACCTGACGTCCACGCCAACGATGCTGATGTTGAAAGCGACACCGAGGACGAGATCATTACACCAGCACGTCGGAAGATAAAGCGCATGAAGACAGAAACAACCCAGACGCCGAATGCTAAACGTACCAGTGTGAAATCAAAAGCACCCAGGTCACAACAACTCCCTTCCGATACCTCGGACCTCGATGGCTCCCCACGTCTTGCGAACTCTAGATATCGAAGTAAAGGACCCTCTTCAGCCCTTGTTGATCTGACGTTCAGTTCTCACTCAGAGCCAGAAAGAATCGCCAACGACACGTCCACCGACTTCAGTGTTCATACACCGAAACTCAATCCAATTCGAGCTGAGACTCCGCAGGACTCGAGGAGTCGTGTTCATATTATTGACTCATCTGGTTCTGAAGCGGAGCGCATATCTTCTCGGGATGACACTATCTTACCAGCAGTATACGATTTTCAGGGTATACGGCGTACATCATGGTCAGATATAGACCCCATCGATAAACGAAGAGCGCTTGCAAAGGCTGTATACGACCTTGAGCCAGATCAGGTCTCACGGCTGGATTCATTTCTTGATTCTATGACCGGTTCTCGCACCGCCCAGGAGACGGTTATTGTTGACGGACTCGTCGCTCTCGACGAAGATAAACCCATCATAAAAGGTCTGAAGCAAAAACATCAGTTGAGCGCTCAATTACTGGTGCTACTTTACCTAACATACATTTGCGGTCAAAATGCGTTGGACGAGTTTTTTGAGCTGTCGGAAGCCCACAGAGACGAAGCATTTGCGGACAAAGATCGCGCGCTTGCTACATTTTACAGTTTATTGGAGAAGATCATCTTGACTTACTTCGCAATGCAAACCAGGCCTCAAACACAAACCAACGGCCAGAAAAGAAAGCGAGATTTATGCGTTCCTGACGACCAAATAACAGATGCGACTTTGACTGATTCGTTGGAAGAGGTTCAACCTTCGTCTCACAAGAAGCGTAAGCGCAAGGTGGAAGAAAGCCAGGAGGCAAAAAGCCAACAATTCACGGACCAGGTTAGAATTCAATTGCAAGAAGAGCGACGCAAGAACATGGCCAACAAACTTGCCCTTATGCAAGTCGATGGAAGTGCCGCCTACATTATCAACACGGTAGAGCCACCAGTTGAACTTCACCGACATATCGCTCAACGTGTCAAACCTCATCAAGTCAATGGCATTCAATTCATGTGGCGCGAAATTGTCGAAGATCCAAAACGTCAGGGCTGCATCCTAGCACACACAATGGGTCTCGGTAAGACGATGCAAGTGGCCTCTCTTCTAGTGATGATTGCTCTTTGCAATCAGAGCAATGATAAGAATGTCAGAAACCACATCCCAGAACATCTACGAAAAAGCAAGACTCTTATTCTTGGCCCTTCTTCGCTCCTCAACAACTGGGAAGATGAGCTTCTGATGTGGACCCCTGACCCTAATGTTTTAGGCGTAATTCACAAAGCCGATTCGATCAGGAAACAAGACAACATCCGAGCGATCAAAGCCTGGTCTAGGCGAGGCGGTATTCTCCTGACCGGATACGAACGTTTTAGATCATCAATCACTGACAGCATTCGCGCGAAGGCAAAAGGCACTGGCTTGCTTGAGCTTGACCTTGAACGGATTCTCTTGGAAGAACCAAATCTTGTCATTGCAGATGAAGCTCACATACTGAAGAATCCCAAGTCACAAATAGGCCAGATTGCCAAACGCTTGAAGACAACAAGCAGAATTGCGCTGTCGGGTTCACCTCTCAACAATCATCTCGAGGAGTACCATACTATGGTAGACTGGATCGCTCCTGGTTATCTAGGAGATATGGTCCAATTTCGCTCCAAGTACTCGGAACCTATCATGGAGGGACTTTATTCTGACAGCTCGGCGTACGAGAAGCGGATATCCCTTCGAAAATTACATGTGCTCAAACGGGATCTTGATCCCAAAATCAATCGAGCTGATATCAGCGCCATTGAGAAAGATATGCCCTCGAAGACTGAGTTCTTCATCACGATTCCCCTTACAGACTTGCAGAGACAGGCATACGACATCTATATTCATCATATGCTGCAGTCATTCGGGGTCTTGTCGTCGAAGAATCACCATGCCAGAATTATGGCGTGGCTATCAATGCTCTCATGGCTCTGCCACCATCCTGCCGCGTTCGTTGCAAAAATCAAGGAGCGTCATGAAAAGCCGAGAGAGGATCGCTATTATGGCAACGACACTGGCGAGCCTAACGAGAGTACAGACGAGACCTCGGGATTCGGTGAAGTTAGCGAGAACGTTGCTCTCGACATCGCAGGCTCCCTACAAGAGGCTATGCAGCAAGCGCTGCAGGTGCTCCCAGATCCGAGCGACAGAAAGGCACTCTACGATCCAAGGCTATCCTACCGCACGCTTGCTGTAAAGCGCATCGTTGAAAAGGCGATTGAAGCTGGAGATAAGACCTTAATCTTCAGCCACAGCCTCCCCACATTGGATTACTTGGGACAAATGTTGAGGGGAATAGGCGTATCCTTCTGTCGCATTGACGGTTCAACTAAACCGACGGACAGGCAAGCTTTCACCAAAGAATTCAACAATAAGGACAACTACCAGGTGTTCCTGATTTCTATCCGATCCGGAGGCCTCGGGCTAAATTTACAGGGCGCAAACCGAGTGATCATTTTCGACTTCAGCTTCAATCCAACCTGGGAACAGCAAGCGATTGGGCGAGCATATCGACTGAATCAGAAGACACCTGTGTTTGTTTATCGATTCCAGGCAGGTGGAACATTCGAGGACAAACTGTTCAATACTGCCGTCTTCAAGACCCAGCTGTTCGGCCGCGTCGTCGACAAGAAAAATCCAAGACGACATGCGAGTAAGGCAGCACATACCGAATACCTATTCCCGGTCAGGGACGTGCCACAAGTTGACTTTCGCGACTCTCTCGGAAAGGATCCGAAGGTTCTTGATGCTATCATTCACGAACTCGACTTCGTTCGTAGCATTGTGTTGACCGAGACCTTCCAGAAGGAAGACGACGAACAGCTAGACGACGAAGAGCAGAAGGTTGCAGAAGAGGAGTACAACGATCAGCGTTTGCAGCGAGAAGACCCCATCGCATGGCAAGCGAAACAGCGACAAAGCTTATCAAACACCAATCTGATATCTTCATTCTCGAATCCGGATCCGACGCTCCACTCTGGGAGAGCCGCATTTGGACAGAGAATAGGTCCCGGCGCCCATAGATCAAAGTCGTCCGCGATCAGACCGATATTACCAGCTCCATTCGAGAGAGCAGATCTGAATAGTCCGCAACCACCTCAGGCTTACCACACAACCATTCATATGCCTGGCTCGTATGACGATACATTCCAGGCCTTCGTCCAACTAATGGAAAATCGTCATCGTGCTGTAAGCACAGAGCCGGACTGGTAGGATGTCACAAATTACCCTTCGCTCTATGTAGGTAGGCAGGCACACTGGAATGCTCGGGTTCCAGAACCGTGGAGACACGACCTCTCGAGATTTCAGGTCTCGAATGAGCTGTGCACACCTTTTTTTTCAGTTCCAGCGCCTAAAACCAAGGCTGCATCATGTTTTATTGTTCACAGAGATACCCGGAAAGGCGTTTATGAAGGTACGGCAACGGTTCACGAAGTCATGAAGGAAGCTGAGAAGCCTGGATTGGGGATGGCACTAGCGCAAGGACCTTTTGACTTGAATACCAGGCAATGCTTGCAATGAATGTTCAGAATCAGGAGCTCAGACAGCCTCTCCCGAGCAATATGATAATAAACTTTAATGTGCTAGGCTTTTGAGGCTACATTCGATCACTTGTACCCTCTCTTGCTTCTGTCCAAGACACTCGTTCTATCATTATATTGTGACTTGCCGTGCTAGCAGTAGCGTCCAGCCACAATGAAGAGCGTCTTTCACAGCCATGATCTCGTTTGGGTCTGTGTTTGAGGAAAGAGGACGTCGTAATCGTCTGACACGATCCATCCCTGATTGAATTCTCCGACCAGGTGGGTAACAACACCACGTACATCGCCCACATTTTAAGAATTTAGTCTCATGTGGATATGACCTTTTCTCCACCTCTTGTTGCCGCTACGGGATAGAGAGGGACGGCCGTTCTAGGTACAGTGCAATTAGCGAAGTTATGCGGCCGCTCGAATCACAATTGTCGGCCAATATCTTTCTGCATGTGCCACCGCTGGGCCAGAAGCAGAAGCAGCAGCAGCAACAGCCATGGGCGACACAGACGTTGGGGAGGAGGAAACCGGGGCGGAAACTCGTCTTCTTCATCCCGGGAAATCCTGGTTTGATCGGATATTATCGTCCGTTCCTGGCCCTGGTTGTTCAGGGGCTACGGGGTGGGCGAGAAGACGAGAGCGGTGACGGGCGCGTGGAAGGTGCAGAGGCCGTGGTCGCGGGGTTTAGTCTGGGAGGATTCGACGTCGACGAGATCATCAATGATGATGATGATGATGATGCGGAGGAGGGGAAACCTTGGCGAAATGACGGGAACGTCAGAAAGGGAGGAAAAGGGGTACAGCAGGAGGAGGAGGAGGAGGAAGTTGGTGGTGGTGGTGGCGGTGGTAGTGCTCATGACGACAAAGGTCATGAGGATGGAGACAGGAGCGACGAGGAGGACACAATCCCCGTGCAGAGGTTTCGTGTGCCAGCCGGGGAAGACAAGGAACTGCTGCTCTGTCCGCCCTCATTCTCACCTGGATCTTTCCACGACGAGCGACACGAGAAACGGCGTGAAAGGCACCCGACAACACAGCGGCAGCGTAAAGTCTACACGCTCCGCGAACAGATCGTGCTCACCTATGCGCGGGTGGAATACCTGGTTCAAAGACTACAAGACCGAAAAAGCCCATCCACGCACATCTCGGAGCAAGAGCCCGTCCAGGTCGTCCTCATCGGCCATAGCGTCGGGGCATACATTGCCCTGGAACTCGTGAGGCTGTGGCATGAAAGACATCATCATCGACAACAGCACCAGCACATCTCACTGGATACCGCCGCAAATCCGAGTGAGAAGGGCGGCGGCGACGACGACGACATGTCGACACTGGCAACGGACTCGTCCGAGTCTGGGACCAAAATACCTCCAGCGTCCAGCTGGGCGATATCGACATGCATCCTCCTGACCCCAACGATCCAAGACATCCACCTCTCCCCGTCTGGCCGCGTCGCCACGCCCGCTCTCACCTACCTGCCCTTCCTCCCAAGCCTAGCACACACGCTCCTTCACACAGTCCTCCTAAAGCTCCTCCCCTCGATGTGGTTCGCCGCGCTCGTCTCGCGGTTGACGGGTATGCGGGCAGGGAGCCACGGCTTCGAGACCACGATGGCGTTTCTGCAGAGCAAGCGGGGCGTCAAACAGGCCTTGTTCATGGCGAGGGGGGAGATGGACGAAATCAGATGCGATACCTGGGGACAAGAGGTCTGGGGGGCGAGCCACAACCACAGCCACAGCGACTCGTGGAACGCAGAGGATGAACGTGGCGCGAGCACGACTAGTCCGAGACTGTTCTTCTGGTTTGCAAAAAAAGACCACTGGGTCGCCGATGTCACAAAGGAAGCAATCTTCCAACGCAAACCTGCCAACGTTGGTGTGCAGAGGGATCGCTTAGCCAGACATCGAACCAACATGGAACTTTCAGAGACTGAAGAAGAAGATTTCATGGAAGATCAGGCGGGCAGCACGACGAGGCAGGCACCGAGATTTCGGATTCTGGAAACGGAACGTCTGGTTCATGCGTGGTGCTTAGACCAGAGCGAGTTTGTGGCACGTCGTGTGAGCGGCTGGCTGAGGGAAGTTTTGGATGCAGGAGGCTGCATGCTCCACGATGGGCGCCCTTCCTACTACCAGTATTAGTAGCTACGTATGTTTATGCGGCCACTCGAGGCATAGTGTTGGATGCGTAACACAGTACTATTCAAGCTATCTTGCACCAAAACCGGCTTTTCTGAACAGATCAGTCAGCACGTCAGGCTGCTGCAGCCCTGGCAGCCCTGGCTGTGGTGGAGGCTGGATTCTGCCATCATACTCATGCGCTCGTACACTCCATGCAGCATCGTCTGATCTTTGCTGGCCGAAAATTTGCTGCAAACTGATTTGCTGACCGGGCCCTGGTGCACTTCCTTGCTGATTTTGCAAGCTCTGCTCAGCCTGGAGTATGTGTCCATTTGTATGTTGTGCCGTTGCAGCTGAGGCAGCCGCTTCAGCGGCTTGTCTACTTACACCCGCATGATCAGCCAAAGACTTCATCAGCTCACCATTCAGCTTCTGGGCGTGTTCAGTTGAGGTCCCCGGGCCGTCGTGGAAGATATAGACACCGTAGATTTTTTGCTCATAGCCCTCCTTGAAGCTAATTATGACATAATCTCCTGTTATTTCGACACCAGCATTTTCACCTTCCCTCAGTTCTGCTTCGAAATTGTCGAGGCCCCGTCTGTTGAGGACAATGGCGGAATACCTGTCTTCGCCATATACTCCTGGAGTAAGTTCGCAAATGAACAAGGAGCCTTCCACTCCTGTCTTTGTCCATTCAGGCTGAGGTAAAGGAGAGAACTCGTATACGACAGCGTAAGGAGCTATTGAGAGGATTGACGATATCTGAGGGTTGTGCCGTTTGAGGACCGACAGGTTGAGTTCTTCGTTGGTGCGGTTTGGAGGAGGTGGTTTTATTGGGTAGTCCGACTGATAGCCTGGATTGTCTGACTCATAATCGGACACCTGAACAGCAGGCTGCGCGTAAGGAGCAGCAACGAGCGCGGGAAGAGTAGCACCGGAAGTGGGAGCAGGTGGAGGAGCAGGAGTAGGAGAGGGGGCAGACGTCGGCAGCTCTGTCTGAGATTGTGACATGGGAGGATATCGGGGAAAGTCGACAGACTGCTGTCGCCGCGAGTTCCCAGAGCGTCGATTGTTCTGACGATGCGACATGACGAGAAGACCACGGGTGAGAAGGAAGGCTGTGGGAGACGACACCAGGTCAATAAAGAGAACCTGTGACCTACCTGACGGGTAGGTACCTGCCTTTACTTTTCAGGACCTAGGCCAGTAACATGTTGGAACCATCAAAAGTGCTAATCACGACTGCTGCTCATCACAGAAATGAAAAGGTGTAGTGGTGCGGAAGCTGGGTGCAGGCGTGGCCAAGGACTGACTGTAGCGATGGGATGCAGACGCAAGAATCACAAGCACCCAACAAGGCTGATGGAGGATGGCCGAAGCAAGAAGGCAAGGCGAGAAACTCAAAGAGGGAAAGCGCCACCCCCAGAGTCCAGCTGGCACCAATTGGCGCGTCGATCCCTGGCTTCCCCTTAATTTTTGAAAAGTCGCCCGTTCACCACCTCAATCGAACACACTTATCCATCTTAAACCACTGTGTCGCGCTTCCAACGATTTGTTTCTTGTTCTATTCTATACCCTCGTTTCGTCTTGTCGCCAACTTCCATTTCCGGGCGTCCTTCTTTTCTGCCGGCGCCCTCTACGCCTAGTCCTTTAGCACCATGTCTTCTCCGATGAATGCGGTACGCAGTCTCGCTCTGGCACACTGACCCCCTGATCAACCATCACCCACCACCCCCCAGCTTTGTCCACTGTCTACCGCTATCACAATGTTCTCTACTAACAGCATGCGCCTGGCGCAGTTAAAGATTCGGAGAAAGAAGAATGTCAAGAAAGGAATTCAGTTTTGCCTGATGGTTTGTGGTGCAAGTGGAACTGGTACCTGCTTCCCTCCACTCGACTCCGACCTCAGTCTGATTTGACCACTTCCAGGCCGAACCACCTTTGTCAACACCCTTTGTGGCAAGCGAGTCCTTCAGCCCAAAGACGCCGACGATGCAGCCAATGCTCACCTAGAGGAAGGCGTAAGAATCAAGCCGGTTACTGTTGGTAGGTGAAGAGAGAGAACACATCCTTGCTATGGGGTTGGCCAGGGGTGAACTGACAATACCTTTTAGAGTTGGAACTGGACGAAGAAGGCACACGTGTATCACTCACCATCGTGGACACCCCGGGCTTCGGTGACCAGATTGATAACGAGTCCGCTTTCGGCGAAATTGTTGGGTACTTGGAGCGACAGTACGACGATATCTTGGCTGAGGAATCTCGTATCAAGAGAAATCCTCGATTCCGAGACAATCGCGTGCATGCCCTGCTTTACTTCATCACCCCAACAGGTCATGGCCTCCGCGAGCTTGACATTGAATTGATGAAGCGCCTCTCCCCCCGCGTCAATGTCATCCCCGTCATCGGAAAAGCTGATTCATTGACCCCGGCCGAACTGGCCGAGTCTAAGAAGTTGGTCATGGAAGATATTGAACACTACCGGATTCCTGTCTACAACTTTCCTTATGACATCGAAGAGGATGATGAGGACACGGTAGAGGAAAACGCAGAGCTGCGTGGCTTAATGCCGTTCGCCATTGTTGGTTCAGAAGATGTGATAGAGATTGGCGGACGCCGGGTTCGTGCACGACAGTACCCATGGGGTATTGTCGAAGTCGACAACCCGCGCCACTCGGATTTCCTAGCCATTCGCAGCGCGCTCCTGCACTCGCACCTTGCCGATCTCAAAGAAATCACCCACGACTTCCTGTACGAAAACTACCGAACAGAGAAACTCAGCAAGAGCGTGGACGGTGGTGTCTCGTAAGTGGTCCCTGACCGAATTTGTGATTCCGCAGGTTGACTAATTGTTTCGTGTCACAGTGCTCAAGACTCGTCTATCAATCCCGAAGACCTGGCCAACCAATCCGTTCGCCTGAAGGAAGAACAGCTGCGACGTGAAGAGGAGAAGCTACGGGAGATTGAGGTCAAGGTTCAGCGAGAGATCAATGAGAAACGACAGGAGCTGCTGGCACGGGAGAGTCAACTGCGTGAGATAGAGGCTCGCATGCAGCGTGAGCAGAGCCAGGGCTTGGATGACCTGAACGGTCACGGGCACCAAGACGCATAGAGGAGGGTGGGACAGACGAACGCATTGGGGAAGGTGGAAGATGTCGTGTCGATATCGGTCTCATGCAGGCATGGATCCAAAAAGTGAAGCTGGGGTGGGTGAGCAGTGGGATGAGGCTGTGACCAAGGAGGCGTCGAGGCTGTTGCGGGGATGTCAGGGCGGTGAGTTTTTACTCAACCATTCACCGGCCCGATTGCTTGTCGATGATGGATACTTGTTGCAGCAGAGTACATTCTTCTAATCAGCGGTGACTCGAGAAGGGCAAATGAGGAGATGGTCTTTGTTTCCTTTTCTTCCTGCTGGATCCTTTTGAGCGCAACGCAATAGTCAAATAGTCGACCAGCCTAACGAGGGCGTCCAGTGATGAACAGGCTCTCTAGTCGTGTGGTCCTTTGGGCTGCGGAAGAGAAAGGTTCGGGCCTACCACTGGCCTTGAGCTCTAGCAGGTGGCGCCCGTAGAATGATTCGCGGGTACCTGACGGACTAACTTGACCGCCTGACCATGTGCCGTTTTCCGAGTCCGTTGGGGCCCATTTCCTGTGCGGAAGGCGGGAGATGATGCTTAACAGGTTTAGAGTCAGCTGGTGAGGCCGACCTAGAGACGTCAGGACGCAGAAAAGTGATGAACCGGTGCCGAAAAGAGCGTGGGGTGAAAGAGCCATGTCGAGTGGTCGATGAAGTGCCAGGGCGAGTGGGAATGCAGCATTTTGCGGAGGAGGGGTAGTCGAAGGGGCCACAGGGTTGAAGACGGCGCTGGACCATGAATCAAATCTGCAGAATTTCGGTGTCACAGCATAAGCAGGCACGGCAGCCTGACCAGCTATCAAAACGGACAACGGGCTGGTTCAATAAGAAGCAGAAGAAAATAAATCCCGCAGGCCGGTGGCTTAGACCTAACTCGGAGGGATTCCCTTACCGGAAGGCGGAGCTGATGATCGAGAGTGGACAAGCGATTTGCTAAGAGGTGAGGAGTGCATTTGAGAACGAGAGGGAGGGAGAGATATAGCACAGCCTGATTGTAGCAGCCTGGGGAGGAACTGTGACTCTGGAGGTATGCAGATTCTCCCTCACAGCAAGAACAACGACAAGGACGGGGAAACTACTTCCAAGACCGCTTCACATATCCGCTCGTTCAGTGTGTGCGGGGCCACAATTCTACTCGAAAACGGAAATCAATGATGCGCGGGGGCGACATTGAGCACGGAGCATTAGCAACAGGGAGGAACACGAACAAGACCTTGTGGGCGTGGAGTGCATTGCATATTGCATGTGCTGGAGGCTGCAGTAGCGAGTTTGGAGTGCAGCAAGTGAGCAAGGCACCGTGGGCGGGATTCTTGGGGGGAGGAAATGGTTGGGAAGAGACTTGGGATGATCAATTGTATAGACTGGAGCGACAGCTTGTCTGTCTATAAAGATTGACTGCGTCTTTCCATCTTCGAAAGCTGTTTCCTCCATTGTCTACAAGCATCTCAATCCGACTCCCATACCTTCACCTCTGACCTCCCGTTCAATTCGTCCTCGAATGCTCCCCAACTTACTGGGTTAGCCGAGTCCTCGTGATCGCCGCCAACACGGCCGCTGGTCCATCCTCCGTCCTCCATCCCACGCTCCTCGACCACCTGCCGATCAATCCATTCCATCCGTTTGGGGCTGCGAAGGTGAGCCGGAGTTGATGATGGACAAGCCTCATTTCTGTCTTCAACTGCGTCTCCTCTGCCCTCATCACATCAATAGCTGCTGACTCTTCATACAGTTCCTCTCTGCCTTCCACTCGCCCTCTGCCAAAGCTCCTCATCGCACCCACAAGTACTCACGACTCACTCGAAATACCTCGTATTTGGACGGGGAAATCACCGCCCTCACGACCCACCTCAAACTCAACCGCACACTTGTAGCTGGCACCTGGCACTTTCCAACCCACGGAATCCCACGGTTCATTGTCGGTCCACACGGCCACGGCCACGGCCACGGCAACAGATCACCTTTGCTCCTTCGTCGTGCACATGCAACAAGGTGCCTTGGATGCTGGCTCAAAGACTAGAAGCAGAAGGAGAAGAGGTCTGGACAGCATCGGGTGAGAAAGGGAAATGAGCAAAGAAGCCAAAGTCTAAAACCCTAACCACTGACACCACGAGCGCCGGCCACGAGGAACTCAAAACACCATCTGGTATCGACCTCGGTGATCCTTTTTTGGGTCGACGTACCGGGCACTCTTATCTGCTTTCTCCATCTTGACCAAGCTTGGGACCCGCCTTACTGGAAATGCCGCAGGCTTTGCTACCCCTCCCCACGTCCTCTCGCCTTTTCGCACAACCACGGCCCATTATTTCGAGTGACCACTCTCCGTTCCCTGCAGTATTCGATCATAGTGCATTTCTCGCATGCCCACCTGCGTCTCGAGATCCTCTCGTGCTCCAAACATATCGCGCAATCCGCTGTTGCCCTCACTTCGGTTGAGGACCCACCACATAACATCTCGAAGCAACCGTACTAGGTGCTCCCAGGTGGTCCCCCTCTGACGACCCTGCCCACCTTGTCTTCACAATCCTCTCAAAAGGGTACCAACGTCCTTCAATATTGGTCCTTGTACATCTGTCGCAACCAAGCATCCCAGTGCCCGTCGCGCTGGCTCCTCTTCAGCTCCCGCTCACTGCTCGTGAGCCCATCTCTCTGCGGACCCGATATCGTCTCGACCATTGCTGAGATCATGTCGGTCATGACCACTGAGCCGCCGACGCCCACACGCACTTCGAGCGGTTTCAGCCTCCTCTCGAAAATCAAGTCCCACAAGGAATCCAAATATCTCAGCCCTTCCAAGCCGCCGGTCCATCGCACGGGGAGCTATGGCAGCAATTTCGACCTTCCAGCGCGACCGTCGCCTTTCTCGTTGCCTGCCCAGGAAGGTGCAGGAGCCAAAGCTCGGCGCTTGAGCGCAGATCCTCGAGACGATTTCTTCGTCGATGTTTGTCCGCTGGAGGATGAGTTTGTCTCTGCCTCCAAGATAGGCCGGCGAAAAGAGATCGGGAAGGGTGCCAGTGCAACAGTCAAGATCATGCTGCGCAAGGGTGAGAAGAAAGGTGAGGGCGCGGCGCTGTATGCCGTCAAGGAGTTCCGCAAGAAGTCTGCGAGGGAAACAGAGGAAGAATACGTTCGGAAGGTCAAGTCGGAGTACACAATTGCCAAATCTCTCAACCACCCCAACATAGTGCAAACCGTGCGGCTGTGCACGAACAATGGACGCTGGAATCATGTCATGGAGTACTGCGCGCAAGGCGAGCTCTTCAGCCTAGTAGAACGAAAGTATTTCAAGGCCGAGGACCGGAACTGCATCTTCAAGCAAGTCCTTCGCGGGGTCAACTACCTGCACGAACACGGGATTGCGCACCGCGACATCAAACTGGAAAACCTGCTCATGACGGACGATGGATATATCAAGATCACTGATTTTGGTGTTTCGGAGGTGTTTTGTGGTGATCATCCGGGGATTGCGCTTTCGGGAGGACGGTGTGGACAAGGCATGAGAGAGGTCCGCAAGTCGGCTCCAGGTATTTGTGGTTCGAAGCCATACATATCGCCCGAGGTTTTAGCCCAAGACCGGGAATACGATCCAACCAAATTGGACGTATGGGGTTGTGCGATCCTTTTTATGACCATGTTTCACATCGGCAACCCGTGGCAAAGTGCGAGCAAGAAGGAGATGAACTATGCCCTGTTCCTGGAAGGCTGGCAAGCGTTTCGGGAGCGATTCCAGGATTCGGCCATTGACGAGAACTGCCATCCGCAATGTGGGCCCATCTTCAATGCGCTGCCGTCGAATTCGATCCGGCGGTGTATCCTCAAGATGCTTCACCCCGACCCCGAATGGCGATGCAGCGTCAGCGACGCGCTGAACGATCGATGGATCAAGGGAGTCGAATGCTGTTCACGCGAGGATACCGGACCGACGTTCGAAGCGATTGATGTGTCAAAGACTGGGTGTCACAAGGTGGCTGCCAGAATGAAAGTACAAGCCAAACATGACCATCTGCCACCACCCGTCAAGCGACTGCCTCAACATCGCTTTGATATGGGCGATGGGACATCTCGCTATGACTGAAGCAGAGAAATGCACGATCGGGTTCGCATTCGCCCACAGGTATTTGCATTTTGTTTCCTTGGTTCTCCAGATGACCCGACCTCTTTATCTTTCTTTGGTCTCCCTCTTCCTTCTGTGGACGACTCTCGGCTGCGTTACGAAGTGCTCGGAATCGCGGGTGTACAGAGATGTCCCTTGTTTGCCGGCTGGAGGTGGGACTTGTGTCATGACATCTTATGGGTTGTCTGTATTTACGGGGCGTTTCTTGGGAATGAGCAATGGTCCCACGAAAAAAAGTAGCTTGGGTGGTAGACTGCTTTCGCAATTGCTTTGAGCTGCAGCTATAGTGCATACATAGCATATAACAGATCTGTCGAAAAGACAGCAAGGCCAGCAACGTCGGCACCAGGGCGATGCTGGGCAAAAAGCAGGATGAATTACAAAATGTGAATATTTCTATGTTTTAATTTAACGTATCGACACAATTCTGATCGAATCTCGAATTTCCGCATTTCCAAGTGTCTAGCTACCTTGACCGCTTTTGCCCTAAGGTGCCAGCAAATGTTCTGTGACCAGGGTAATCGGGTCTTTTCCAGTTTTATCCATGTGCCAAAGGGGCGACTTGCATGACAGGACTGGGACGTGGAGGGATGATTGGTGGTGAAGAGACAAAGGAGGGAATCTGTGGGTGAATCCAGCCCGCACGGTCTTGTCCTGCGTCTGCGATCGGGAGAATAGCCGAAAGGGATTGACCAGGACATTTGGCAGGGGGGGACTCGTATTGCTCGTCTCTGGAGTTTCTTTCATATGCGCGTCTCGTAATCTTTTTTGGAGCATCTTTTGGAGAATTTGTGGTGCGAAAGGGGCGCAGGCAGTTGGATGGATGGAGGGGATGAGATGCTGCTGCCTTGGAGCCGGCAACGCAGGCAAATTGGCCGAGGTATTTCTTAGTGTCATTTGCTCATCATCCACCAACCAACACCAACACCACCACCACCCATCAGGCCATACCCCTGGGGTTTTAAATGATTTGTGCACCCGATGCTCTGAAGACAAGAGGGAAGAAAGTATTTGTACATGACTGATAGATCACAGTAGACAACTATTCAACTCCGTCAATTCTCTATTAGATCCGCTGCTTCTTAGGCCGATAACGCCATCCTCGCCCATCGTTTCTCCCCCCCGCCAGTGGTGCCCAATCGGTGACGATTCGGACCCTTTTTTTTTTGACAATAATACAATAATCGAAGGGAGGGGACGAGTTTGAAACTGATGAGAAGACCATTTTCCAATCCTCACTCGTTCAACATCGCCAGACAAGAAGCTTCTTAAGCCATCTGTCTACTTGAGGTGTACATGGCCGAGATAAACACCTCCGCAGCCACCAAGAACAACAACCACAACACCATCGACGACACTACCACCACCACCATTGCTGCCGCTGACCCCGAATCCGCCCAGCCAGAACACCCGTACCAGCCCTACATGGACGTACAACCGCCCTCGGCTGCTCACCTCAGTGACGCCAACGGGATGCCTCTCAGCGAGAAAGAGGTCGAGGCGCTGGAGAAGGAGGAGAGGGCCGAGCGCGCGGCCACGCCTGAACCCAGTGACTTCAATATCGCCTTCCCGGACCATCTGCCCACGCCGCCCTTCTTGCATGTGCAGGGCGTGCCCAATTTCCGCGAGCTGGGAGGATACCCCTGCCAGCCACCCTCGTCTTCGTCCCAGGCGCCGCCGTCCAAGAAGTACGTCCTCAAGAAAAATCTCCTGTACCGCTGTGCTCACCCCACTCACTTGACCCCCACGGGGGCCACGTACCTGACCACCACTCTCAACGTGCACGACATGTACGACTTGCGGTCTGCGCCCGAGATCAACCGGCTCGCGTCCACTGTCGCTTCCAGTGGCAAGAGCGTGTACCCACTTGCAAGTCCCGTGTCTGGATGTTTAGATGAGGTACCGGGCCTCAAGAGGCATTTCGTCCCCGTCTACCAGACCGAAGACTACGGCCCGGTCGCGCTGGCGAGAAAGCTGGCATGGTATACCGCCGAACACTCCCACGATCATGAAGCAGGATACGCTTACTCCGAAGGCTTTGTGAGGGCGTATCGAGACATTGCCACGCACGGCGCCGGTGCCTACACCATCATGTTCCGACATCTTCTCGACCGCCCGAACGAACCCCTGGTGTTCCACTGTACAGCCGGCAAAGACCGCACGGGGGTGTTCGGCGCGCTGATTATGAAGCTCGTCGGCGTGGACGAGGACGTCATCTGCTGGGAGTATGCCCTCACCGAACCTGGGCTGGGCGGCTGGCGGAAAGAGTTCATCGAGCGAATCGCCCAGACCGGCCTTGGGGGTGGCGGCGGCAAACCCCAGCATCAGCAGCAGGTCGTCACCGGCGAGAGGGAGCACAGCAGACCGGCGGTTTCACGCGAAGAAGCCGCCCGGATCTGCGGCAGTCGAGCGGGCAATATGCGTGCTTTCCTGCGCACCGTGCTGGAGGGCGAGTTTGGCGGCGTCGTCTCGTATCTGACGCGCATGTGTGGGCTGAGCGAGGCCGAGGTGGCGCGTCTGAGGGAGAATCTCACCGAGCTGGTTGACGATGTGCCGGGCCAGGTCATGACCATGGTCGAGATTGACGGCTGGACTGCCGAGGGAGGCTGTGTGGATTGACGGTTGTGGAAGCTGTGATGGAAGAGGATGAGGAGATCAGAGGGGAGCAGGTTCTAGAGGACAGGATAGACGTTGGCTATTATTGCTGCTATCATCATCACTGGCGTGGATCTTGTTCTTGATCTTGTTCTGCGTCCTCGTCTCTGTCTCTCTACTCCTCCTACGAGAAAACGGAAAACGAATGAAGAAACGAATGAATGGGCCAGCCAAAAATCCCAGAAGAAGAAAAAAACAAAATAAAGAGAAGAGGAAATAAAAAGAGACGGACTGTACCTGGTTTTCGCCAGACTTTCCCGGAATCGTATTCGGTATAGAAGAAGAAGATTTTTATATTTTATACAAGACCGTCCTTTTCGATAACGAAGACATCGCAGCTATTCAGCCAACTAGTCAGACAGCAAGATAGATGGCAAAAGAAACAGTGATTTCTCCCATTTTCCATCTCCTATATCCCATTGTCGAGTTGTTTTTCTCGTTCCTTTAGATTTCAGACCCCGTCCTCACATCAAATCAGATAACGAGCAGCGAAAAAGGGGACGCATGTGTACTATAGTATGTGTATGAATAAAGACACGAAAAGACAGGATCATACATGACACCTCGCAACATTTCGTGGCGCAACCTGCTGGGTAAATGCTGTATCTGTAGAATCGGATCGAGGCTTTTGCTGATTGACACCGAGGCTGGAATGGGTTGTGTTCAGCCGCAGTCAGAATACTTGGTATACAAGACAAGAAAGAATATTTGATCTTTTTTTTTTCTCTCTCTCCTGACAGGCTATGTATGAATCCTCATATCCGCATGCACCTCCGCCTCTTAAAATTGGCAGGAAACATTTCCCCGTGGTCCCGCAGAGCAGAGTAGAGCAGAGCAGAGCATTGAATTCGAGCGCTGGCTTTGAACGCATTCGACGACGCCACAAAAAAAAAAAACGAATAAATATCTCTAGGCGTTCTTTCATCTCTTCCAGAAACATCTCTCTTTTCCGCAGCTCAGCATGTCGATCCATATTCCACCTCTGACACTGAAATGTCATCAGATTGATTGACTGATCAACCTCAAGACTCGCGTCGTCTCTCTTCGCCCGTCGCGGCTCCGTGTCCCCGACTCGTCGCAGGGCTGGACCCAATATTGCCGGCCGGAACCCTGGTGGGACTAGCACCGGCGCTCACGGCGCCCCGTTTGTCCTTCTTGTTGATCAGATTGGCAAAGAACTGCGACATGGCTTCATTGCTCTGCTTGCCCGAGCCAGACGGCGTCTGTGCCCCATCGCCGCCGTGGTCGCTGCCCATACGACGCATTGGCGTGCTCGTACCTATCCCCGTGACGACCCCTGATGACGCATGACCGGCGTTGGTAGACACGTTCTTTGCCGCATTCTGTCGCTCGCTCTCCCTCTCCCGCAGTCTTCGGGTGGCCTCCTCGGCGTCGAAATCAATCCCGTTCACGTTGATCTGATATGGGCCAATGTGCTCGGCCATCCTTGGGTTGGAAACCCCCTTGGGCCCTTCTTCCACAGCCCCTGCGTCAACGCTCCCTGCGCCAGCTCCCGTCGGCGCCGGGGCACCCTTACGCGACTTCCTCTCTGCCTTTTCGTCTTCCGCTTTCAACTTCTCGAGCGTCTCATGTTGCGCTTGCAGGAATTCTTGGACAGACGGGACAGAGACCGATTCATCGTGCGTTCGTGGCTGGAACGAAGGCCGCATGTCGGTGGGACGGCGGAGCGTGCTTTCAAACAGTTGCACAGCCGATGCTGTGTCGGTCTCATTGTCCTGCGAAGATCTCTCGGCCTCTTGGCCGTAGCTCTTTGATGAGAGGTCGAATTTCTCCTCGGGAGGTAACTGTATTTCCACGGACCATGCGTCCGCCACGGCCTCGGGGTCAAAGCCTTCCTTTAGGATTCGAATCTTACCCCAAGAGTCCCAGTTGGGCGGTACCAGGATCTTGTCTCTGTCGACGATGTTGTGTTTCGCCACCTCCCGTTTTAACAGAGATTGAATGCTGAGACTCGAATGCAATAGCGTCCTTACATTGTTCGGGTCGAACGTGGCGGTATAGACGAGCGAGGCTCCGTGCTTTAGCAAAACGCATCGCAGCCACTGCATCAGGAAGTCAAACTGATCCTCCCCCCAGCCCTGGTCTCGTTCCAGGTCTTGGATCTTCTCCGCCTGTATACAAACCACGGACAGCGGAATGCCTAGTCCCTCGTCCCACTCGCCCGGTCCCGGTGGTACTATCGATCTCTGCTCAGCTACGGTTGCACTGCTACCGCTCCCGGGTTGAGCAGACGGAGCATCTGGCCCGACTCTCTTCTCTTTCCAGGCCGTCATGATTTCCTCCATTTCAATCTTTGTCTGCTCGTCCAATGTCAATATCACGCTTCTCAAAAGGCGGATCCATTGCCGTAGCTGCCTCGCCCACTTCAATGGATCCGACCAGTCCAGTAAGATGGTGATCAATGTGTCTTTGACAGTCTTGGGCGTGAAAAGCGGCTTGAGCAGCGGGGCAAAGTTCGCAGAGGGATTCGCCAGCATGTAGATGTTCATTCTCGCAAGCACGTCTTCCTGATCTGCGTCCAAGACATCGTGGTAGGTGTAGCCCAGGGCGTAGCGGTTCGACACAGGCGCGATCCTCGGCTGCCGTCGTCTGTCGTTGTTGGCGTACCGGGCTCTCTGGTTCGGGGGGTTTAATTGTTCGAGGAATCCGCGCTGTTGGTCGGGGGTGCCGCCGAGGAGGATGAGTTGCTTTTCAGAGAGATCTTTGCCCTTTGACGCGCTGTTGAGCATAGGCACCCAGATCGCTTGTCTGTCGCCATCTTTGCTGCCGGGTCGTCGGAACGCCGCCGTTGGGATCGGAGTGGACGAGGGAGACGGCCGAGGAAAGCTGGGACTTGGTTGAGATGTCGCCAACATACTGGATGATCGAAGTTATGTGTCTTAAGTGGAGGAAAGGGTCTTGACCGAGGGCATGTCCAATTGTGAGTGAAGCATTTGGGTTTATCAGTTCTGGATGAGATTCATGCGTAGACTGTTTACACGCTGCCGAGTTGAGAAATCCGACATGTTTCTTGGATGTTTCGTTGTCGCGTTTTCTCCGCAGTCCCTGGAAAAAAGTCCCCGTGGCCCTGAAACACCAACTCTTCTAGGTGCGTAGGCCCACTCAGCCACTTTAAGCCTGGCGTTCATTACCTGCGTCACTACTGAGATCTTGGGCCTTTGTCTCCGCAGTCACAGGCGAAACATTATTGGAAACTTTTTCGACAGTTGAGTTCTGTCAAGTTCGCAGTGGAATTGACACAGCAACGAAACGACGGCGGGTTCCTCGTATTATTTCCTGGTTGCTCCCTGAGTCTTCTCCAGTGGACTAGGATCATGAACGCCATTCGGCAGACCCAGCTTCTGAACAAGCGCGAGTTAGAAAATGCGACGCCACCCTCTGCCTCGTGGCACGCCGACTACAGAGACACCGCCTGGATCTACATAGGGGGCCTGCACCTGGGCTTGACGGAAGGCGACGTGGTGATCATCTTCTCTCAGTACGGCAACCCCACGCACCTCAATCTCATCCGCGACAAAGAAACTGGCAAGAGCAAAGGGTTCGGGTTCCTGAAATACGAGGACCAGAGGAGCTGTGACCTGGCCGTGGATAACCTGGGGGGCGCCGAGGTGTTGGGGCGGCTCTTGAGGGTTGACCACACCAGATATAAGAAAAAGGATGACGAGGACGAGGACACCTATAGGATCGACAGGCTGGAAGCCCTGGCGGAGGCAGAAGAAGAGGTCAATGGGAATGGGAAGAGAGAGAGCGACAACACCGATGACGAAGGCGACAGTGAAGACGGGCACAAGAGGAAACGGAGACGGCATCTAATCAAGGAAGAGGAGGAGCTAGAGGAGCTGCTCGCCATAAAGCAAGAAGGCGAAGAAGAGGATCCCATGAGAGAATATCTGATTAGAGAGAAACGGGAGGAGATTGAGAGGGCAAAGGAAAGGCAAAAGGAGAAACGAAGACACAAGCACCGACATCGACGGAGAGATGACAACGTGGATGACGCGAACAATAATACCGACAAAGAGGGCGGGCACCACCATAGACATCGGCCTCGAGATTCTGAAGACGCTGGGAGAAGAAAACACCGAGACAGCAGCGAGCGAATAGAAAGGCACGGGCGAGATGAAGGCGACGACAAAAGACAACGAGGAAAGCATGAGCACCGAGACGCGCGATACGACCGAGATAGAGACAGGAACAGAGATGAGGAGCACCGTCACAGACATCACCGACGTGATAGTAGGGAGAGGAAGCCTTCGCGAGACCGCGATCGTGCGTCGACCAAGCGTGATGATTATTGAATTTGTGCTCAAATTCTGTGTGTTATCCAATCCAGCATCTTGCGTCGCCAGGGATAGGAGCTGGTTTGCTGGAGAATACTGCTCGATACCTCAATTGGGATTCTCTCCTTTGAGCAGTTCGACCCCTTGTTCTCTCAACTTGAATTTCTCTGCAAAGCCACCAGTTAGTCACAGTCCAATCAACAGGAAAACCGCTAAAGTACTCACGAATCTTCCCACTGGCCGTCTTTGGATAGTCGTCGACGAAAAAGACATGTTTCGGCACCAGGTGGTGGCTCATGCGATCCTTGACCCAGCCCCTGACTTCCTCTATGTTTATAGGCGTTTCTCCTGGCGGCAGATGATGCCTGCGCACGACAAACGCAGCAACCACTTCTCCATACCTCTGATCTGGGAGGCCGACGACACTGACCTCGGCGATCTTGGGATGTGCAAGGAGACAGTTCTCAATCTCGAGCGGATGGATGTTCTCCCCACCGCGGATGATGAGGTCTTTGATTCGTCCGGTGATGCTGACATAGCCCTCTTCATCTATCGATGCCTCGTCGCCAGTATGCATCCATGCCTTGCCCTCCGCATCGGTTTTGATGACTTCTGCTGTCTTTTCAGGTTGACCCCAATACTCTTTCATGACCAAATATCCGTGGACTGCGAGTTCTCCCCGTTCACCCACGTTCAGGATCTTATCATGATCGAAAGGATCCACCACTTTCGCCTCGACATGGGGTAGCAGTCGGCCAACGCTGTTGATGCGTTTCTCGATTGGGTCGTCCGTCGTTGTCATTGCAGAAACGGGCGAGGTCTCAGTCATTCCATAACAAATCGTCAACTCCGTTAGATTTAGAGTCTTGTGTAATTTTCGCATCAGCTCAGAAGGCACTGATGAGCCTGCTGCGATGCCGGTGCGCAGGTACTGGAAACCTTCGTACGCGACCTTTTCGTCATCGAGAAGCTCCAACTCCGCAAGGAACATCGTAGGGACACCATACAGCGCCGTCGCTTTCTCCTCTTGCACAGCCTTCAAGGAGGCCAACGGATCGAATGCCTCGGTGGGGAAGATGATCGCGGAGCCATGCGTCGCAGTCGCCATGTATCCTAGGATACATCCGAAACAATGGAATAGAGGTGGTGGACAGCACACAACATCTTCTGGTGTCAACAGCATCCGGTCACCTATTTGGTTGCCGTTGTTGAGGATTGATCTGTGCGAGAGACAGGCAGCCTTGGGCATGGAAGTGGTACCAGAAGTGAATTGGATGTTGACCACCTCATGGTGCGACAGAGGGGAAGACGGCGTAGGGGGCCGAGTGTCCGTGTCCTGTGCTATCGATGCCCATGGTGTTGTCGCTCGGAAAGGTGTAGGGTCTATCCTGCCCGAGGAATTATTCACGAGGATGATGTTCTTCAAGGATGGAACCGCTTCCGAGGCGAGAGTCGCACTCGAGAGATCAGGCACAAGTGCTTCCAGAAGCGAGACATTTGACCGCGGTGGCTTGTAGGGCAAGTTTGTCTCGGTCCCAATGACTAGGTGTGTAGCAGACAAATGGTTGAAGGCCGAAATGATCTGGTTCGATGTAAAAGCCGGATTCAACGGGACAAGTATAGCTCCCAGCTTAAACAACGCATATGTGATTGTCGCGAATTCAAGATTGTTGCCCAACGACACACAGACCCGGTCGCCCTTCTTGACCCCCAAGCTTTGTAGTCCATGAGCCAGGACATTGCTGTCGAGGTCGAGTTGGTGGTACGTCAATCGCTTGTTTTGGTGTCTGGAAATGACGGCATTGCGATCGCCATGTGCCGCAACAACACGTCCAAAATTCTCGCCAACAGTCTCTTCGAGCAAAGGAGGATGCAGAGGGCCTTTTACTTTGGCCAGGGTTAGGAGGCTGCGTCGAGGTCGAAAGACCGAGGAGAAGGTAGGTAAGGCCGCTGCCGGTGGTCGAAAGAGTGCCCGCATGGCGCTGTCATTGTTCTTCAGACGGGATGCTCAGTTGGTCTCATAGGGACGTCCTCGCCATCCAAACTAGGCACAACGTGTATTTCAGGACGCGCACAAGGTTGTCCTAACACCTCACTCCGTGGAGAGAAAGTAGGAACAAGCCTGTGTGGAAAACGCATGGTGGAAGTTGTGGGGGTGCGGACCAACGCCGCGGTCATCGGCAGACAGGATGGCAGCTCGAAGCTGGCACACAGGGGAAGTGGGCTTTGGGCTCTGGGGCTTGGTGGGAATTGAAAGCCGAGACCGGTTGAGCTGACACGATGATCGATGCCGACTCGCCGAGTCTGTTGCTTCGCGGGGGCGTTTTGTGGGGTAATGAAGCCGAACTGACAAGCCCAGAGGCATTCGAGATAGAACTTTGAGAGGGAGAGAGAGAGAGTACTACAATGGTTGAGGTCCGCTCAATTGTACTCTGGCTTCCATTGTATAGAAATGGACAAAGAGAGGATGCTGATCTTGTCGATGGAAAATGGAAGAACTGCCAGGGAGCAACTAGCTGTATGCACATCGCCCATCGTGACAGCCGCGACGTAAGAGGTTGAGCATCAAAACAGCCGGTCAAGAAAGCGTATCTATCCCTGCAGACAAGCGCATTCGAGGGCCATCACCGTATTCGCCGATTGTTCTGGCGTCAGCATCGCTCATCTCAGGCCCGTTGAGGCGCAGGTGCTGAAAATGCGGGGTGGAGGGAGGCACCCGTTGGCCTTCAACTATGAGATCAGCTTGGCCTCTTGGTGCTACAAACAGCACATCCAGCCCGGTTTCCAGTGCCTCACATAGACTGCTCTTTTGTCCCTGACAACGTTTCCCCTGCTTACTGGTAACTACGGTATCACCACACATCCATCACAGTGTTGACTTGCAGCTGCGCCGCTCACTCCTCGGGAGAATAGAATGCTCCTGGAACGAACAGCCCTTAGCAAGCAACATGCAGCATCTCGAACCACAGCTGAGCTGCAGATGAAAGAGGATGCTGACGGCCAACGCCCACTGACATGCATGTTTTACTTCTTTGCATCTCAAATGAAGCGCAACGTGCAGCCTGCCGACCAGGATCTCGTCCGGAGAGGGAAATTGGAGGACAAACCAACTCATCAGCTGGATTCCATGATTACAAGACTGGGCATGCATGCGGCCTTTTCTCCCCTGATATCCAAATTCGAGACGTACCCGGTCCAAATTCCCGAGACCGACCCAGCTTCCCGCGAGGAAGTTCACGACACAGTCATGATAATGAAGTTTCGGGATAAACGAGCCCGCCAGGAATGGATCGCGACCAAACAATGGCAGGACTTTATGGAGGAGACAGAAAGCCAGCAAGTTTTCAGGAGGATGCCTCATGTTCGATGTGCCAGTAGCCTCCGGGGTCTAATGGATCCAATAGATATTGTGACTGCCTGAAGCAGTTTCGGTGCAGAGATGAGAGATATCAGGTCAGAGGACATCGACCACAACTGGACGCTGAAGGTCTGGGCGCTCTGCCAGGAAGTCTCTGTCGTCAGGAGCAGGTCGCAGGTATCAGCATAGTTGGTCAAGGCCACGACCTGACCAGCTCGAGGCGCTCCAGGTCATATGAGCCTGGCTTGATCTTACGGGATCCGTATCGAGATAATCGTACTTCTGGAAGTTCGGCCGGTTTTTCTTGTTACCGACTTCGCGTCAAGCATGATTGATATCAATTGGAAGGACAGCGTTATCAAAGCTGTTCATTCGGTTGTGCGATTGAGCGCCTTGGAATCAAAAGTCTTGAACCCCTGTCTCCCCCTGTAACTCATGGCTTTGGGTCCTTGGAAGCCCTTCCTCGCCGTTGACAAATTCGGGCTCTTGCTCGTCAAAGTAGCGGTCTTCCGCGTCTCTCTCTTCCAGGACTCGGTCGTCGTACTCGGGATTGTAGTCCACGGAGTCGTAGTCGAAATCGTCATCTCCGCCTCTCAGAAAGCGGACCTGCATCTCCCACTTCCACCTGGCAAGGCCTTCCTCCTTGTTTGCAGGCACTTCGTCTCGATCTTCGGCCAGTATTTCTCCGTTCGGTCCGCGCCTGTACGTGAACAGGGCGTGAGGGTCTGGATGCCGCAGCGCGTCGAGCTTCGCCTCGCTGCGGTACAGATCCGCTTCAAGGATGCCAGAGTAGCCCTTTTGCCGACCTTCGGCTTCGCGTTCAGCGGGCGTTTGGAAGCGGCGGACTAATCGGTCGTAGAGGAGCGGATCTGCAAAGGGACAACCAACCCGTCAGTAAGTGGTCCAGGGCCTACCTTGCCCGGGGGTTCAGGTTGTGGCACACCTGCCAGCTCAAGCTGAGGTCCAAAATATTCTGGGTGAGTGTCCAAGTACCGTTTTCGCCGATTCTTGATCCGAATTCGATCGGGCATCTGCGTCTCCGTCGGCGACGTGGGCTTTGGTGGTAGAAACTCATTGCCACGAATTGGGATTCCCGTCCCCTCTGCGAAGCGAGGCATGTCCGACTGCTTTTACCGGATTGACTGTGTGTAAGATAGCGACTCAAAAGGGCAAAGCAAACAAGGCATGGGGAAACTCAAGTGGCGTCATGGTAGATTGTTTTTGCCCCGCATCGGAATGGCCATATATTTTGGGGCATACATAGTCGATGCCTGTTGTCAATCTTTCATGCCATCAATGACTCTAGATGACCTACAGTGTTTCGCGTTCCCTTCCAGTTTATAAGAAGATAGCATCCCTCCTTAATCACCACGAAAACCTATGGCTCAAAAGCACCGCAACATCTCATTTCAAAGCAAGGGGCATGTATAAGGCCATTTTGACCCAAACCTCCATTAGGACGGCGTACCGCAAAGGAGCCAGGAGGACGAACGTGGATTGTTGAGCTGCGAACCGGACACGATCGTAGCTATGTCGCGGCAAGAGAACATGAAGGCGCGGTGCAGGGCGTAGAAAATGACATACATTTGCGTTAATCTGTGGCTTTATATCTCAACAAATAGTATCTTTGCGCTCTTCAAAACCGCGGAGCTCAAAGCCCGTAACAGGACACTCAGCAGTTGGGATCGGTGACGGTGGTTGGGAAGCGTTCTCAAAAGACAAACATAAAAATCCACCGAGACATCCTGAGTGCTTGTGCGTATGAGGAACAGTTAGACCATCAGAACTCTTTGCGGCACCTCTGCAACCTCAATTTTTCACATCACCTCATTTCTGAGCTGGGGAAGAAACGAGGCCCACCATAACCTCGTGCAAGAATGGCTTGCACGTCGATGTTGGCATGGGGACATTGCGCCCATAGTTTGACGAGAACATAACGGCCCGACCTGCGGATATATCAGTCCCTGAATTACACCCCGATATATTGGAAAAGGGGTGCTGTTGCTTACACTGGAGGGTCGAATTTGATTTCGGTGCTTGATTTGTTTCTGCTGATAAAGAACAAAGCATGTGGCGCAATGCCGGCCCTGGCAGACGAGGAGGTTGCCATTCCATTCAAAGTTGCCTTGGAGCTCGAACCTTCGGCTTCTGGAAGTTCACTTGCAAGATCCTCTGGGGGATAAATGGTGTTTGGGGCAACTGGCGCAGGACCAAATGTTCGAGCTCCACCCCGACTTGAAGTTGAAGGACGACCGTACAATCTGTCTTCCTCGGGATCGCCTTCCCGGCTACGACCGCTGAAAACCCCGTCGTTCTCACGAATTTGCTCCGCCCGCATGAGATCCAGCATGCGATTCCGGTGCGCAAGCGTACTCTCGAGGTCGAGTTGCTGGCGTTGAAAGCGTTCTGTTTCCCCTGTATCTCGTGCGTCAAGCTGGACATCGGGCTCATAGCCCTCTGAATCACTCGAGCTAGACCACGGACCGTCGTTTCGCTCATTTCCGAAATACACTGGGCGGTATCGATCGACATAGGATCGCAATGAGTACTCGTCGTCGTGCCAAGGTCGCGGCGAAAGTGGCCCTTCTCCCCCATCTTCTACATCTGATGGGTCTACCACTGTGACATGAAAACCTGGGACGAGAGGGACCTCAAGATGGTGAGCTTCTTCGGAAGTTGTGGGATTGTTGAGGTGCCTCGAACGGTCAAAAGACCGGAGGTGTGGTGGCGCAGAGTATAGGTATTCCAGGGAAGGGCGGCGGTATCCATCTGTTCTGTGTCGCTGATGACGGTCGCTGCTTTTGGATGACCAGCGAACATCATATTGAGACGTCCGGTCGAGGAGATCATCATCTTCCATTGTAATGAAAATCAAGCCATTTTGAATTGGTGCATCATAACCAGCACGCGGGGCTTTGACCACAATTTCAGTCAGAGTGAAGGGCATGCCGCCCACATGCTTCAGGAGGAGGTTGCATTTGTTTGACTTTGTGCAGTATACGCTGGTATCATCTAGGAGGACATTTTGCGGATAAGAGTTGATGGGCATATGAGGATCTGAATATTCTCCACCGTCGCAACTGACAATCTCCAGCCTCAGCTGGCCAGGGACGACCTGGCCATTGTGGCCATAGCTAAAAGTTCGAGGCTCGTCCTCGTATGTACCGTCGGTCAATTTCCTCCGTTTCGACCTTGGCCGGTCACCACGATCACTGACTGATTGAGCTGGGGAGGTAGGTGACTGGTTGGATGATGGCACATATGCCTCTGATGCTGCAGCTCTTCCACTTTGTCCCAATCTTTCTCTTTGATATCTCTGTAGACGTTCGCTAGGCCTAAAGGCTCTCCGCCGGTTTCGCACGAGGCTCGATGGATTGCTAGTTTGAGCAAGACTCTCGGAAATGTCTAGGTCACGAAAGCGGGTGCCGACTTCCCTTCTTCTTCGTTCTCGTGGGGTGAGGGGGTCAGACGATAGTGGTCGGTCCGATCTGTCATCATTTGCCTCAGAGGCTGCCATCTGATCCCCTATTTCCCGGTCAAGTGCTTCGAATGCAATTTCGTGCTCAACACCAAGATGCCGCTCCGAACTGAGGAGATTCCTGAGATTTTCGAGGCGTGCAGAGATATCAGACCAAGCAGGGCGTTCAGGGGGATTGGACTTGGTGGATATCAGCTTAAAATGTCATAGGGGACTGAGTACGCAGTGCACGAATGACATGAGGACGGGATCGTACCATGGCTGAACAAAGGACGGGCAATACGTTGGCAAGAACAAATACGGTTCGAGGGATGAAAGCAACACGCAAGTTTCCTCGATTCGATATCAGGTTGGAAGAGACATTTGAAAGCAGGTGGCAGAGATTGTAGACATCAGCAATGAGACTGGGCTGCAGAGAAAAGGTCCTCCAAAGAAGGGTGGTAGTTGGATGTTCGCCAGTGAGAGTGCGGCGACCTTCAAGCGCTGTGACATGTCGCAGTGCATCAGCCAACTCTTGCCCCACGATTCAAATGGGCGTAGCACAGCGCCCTCCCAAGGCCAAAGGCCCGTGCTGCGTGGAAGGCACCACCCGGAGAATTAACACACCATTTCCCCCTCTAGCCCTTTAGTCCTCTAGCCCTGTAGGCATCCCGCTAGGCTTCAAAGTTGAAAGCCTACGAGCATAACTCTCACCAATGGCGTGGACGGCTGGGAGCCTGGCTGCTTAACTGCGGCACTGCGGATAAGGACAAGGACAAGTACATATGTACGTAGTTGAAGTGTTGCTTGGCATCAAACTGCCTTGCTGGGAGAATGGCTAGGGATACCAACCATTACCTTGTAAGCTCCTGAATCACGGGCTCCTTCAGCGAAAGAAACTCGCGGTAAGTGCCTCTGTCGCATAGCAAACAATTTTGTTTCTCTTTTCTCACTTTCACCTCCCCTGCAGCCTCATTCTACGATCACTTATCTCCTCACATTTGAGAAAGACACCCTCGACGGTCGCTCCCTCAAAGCTCAGTTCTTTGGACCCATCACACTGCGCCCATCTTCCTGATCACCCTCTCGAATGCACCATGGACGAGAACCCAGTGTCCGAGGGTTCTCATCCTCCGAACGGCCTCCCCCTTGCCGATTCTGTGGCGGCTGACTTGAACGGGGCTATGACCGGCATAGTGAACGGAGGCATTGATGGTGTCATGAATGGTCCTACATTTGTTACACCCGTTCCCGTCATGGAAAGCTCCAACGGCTACCAACAAGTCCCTCATGCGCCTTTTGGCGACATGACGCTCGCGATGAATGGAATGCAACCTGAAATGTTTGGAATGCAGCCTCAGCAACCCATCTCTGCCGATGAGATTGCTTTATACGACAGACAAATCCGCCTATGGGGCATGCAAGTCCAGGAAAAGATTCGTCGCGCGAACGTTCTTCTCATTGGAATGAAAGGCTTGGGCAGCGAAATCGCAAAAAATCTAGTTCTAGCAGGAGTTGGAGTGTTGACCATATTGGATCACGAAATTGTTACAGAAGAGGATCTGGGAACACAGTTTTTCGTCCAAGAAGCTCAAGTTGGCCAAAACCGTGCGCAGGCGGCCCTCGCAGAACTACAGAAACTGAATCCAAGAGTCGAGGTATATACGGACCCGCACGCGGCCGTAACCAAGGATCCCGAATATTTCCAGAATTTCGACATAACTATTGCAACAGGTCTCATTATGGATGTACTTGGGACCATCAACATGGCCTGCCGGATGTATGGTCGAAAATTCTATGCCGCAGACACCCACGGTATGTACGGTTACGTATTCGCCGACTTGATCATACATGATTTCGTGATTGAGAGACAGGAGAGGAATAAACCCACCAAAGTCGGCGATATGGAGACTTCTACGAAATGCGTCACTGCCGTTGAATCGAAGAAGGAAAATGGGAAGACCATGGAACTTATTACCTATCAAGAGACCTACTCTCCCATTCAGCTGGCCAATCTTTCTCCTCTTCCGGCGCGGGTAAGGAATACTCGACGGAGCCGCACCAAAGTCACTCCTCTCCTTTCTTGCCTGCGGGCTCTGTTCGACTTTCAAGGCCAAATGGGGGGGAGGCTTCCTGCGCATAACAGAGCAGACCTCGAGCTATTCACGAGATTGGCAAACCAGAAACACCTAGAGCTCTCGCTTCCACTGGAAAGCTTGAGATCCGACTTTCTCCGGGCCTTTTTGCAGAACCTTGGCTCCGAAATCAGTCCCGTGGTTGCGTTCCTGGGAGGCTCTTTGGCACAAGATGTCATCAATGTACTGGGCCAGAAGGAGCAGCCCCTTCAAAACTGGCTCCTTTTCGACGGGGAAGAATTTACTGCCACCCAGTTTTCGATACATCCTATCAACGACGATGCCATGGAGATGATAGCCACCAACGGGGCTGTGATGGTGCCAGAGGGTGCACCCTTGGATGGCACAGTTCAAGTTGCTTGAGCCATGCACGCCATGGTACAGAGAAGGCTGGAATCTTTGGGACGACGTGAAGCGTGTCTTGCGTGTTCAAGGCTTCGCCTCACCCAATTGGGTTCAGGATCCATTCTTGGCATCGCGAAATTTGAATAAATCTCTCACAAACATTCATCAACATCACAGACTACAAGGGTCTGTACAGAGCTCGGCGCTTCAACATATGGGAAAGGGGGACGTGCTGGACTCTCCGCATTGCTACCCTCCATACTCGTTTCGTTCTCGGAGCGTGGACTTGGACAACTTTGTTCACAAGTACAGACTGTATGAACCGTCGTTGCCTGAAAAGTAGGCAGGCCTTGACCACTTGGAATGAATCTTAGGACCTCTGACCCTTACTGAGACTGAAAATGAGCCATCCAGATTTTCCCTCAAAATTAGCTGACCTGACGCTAACCGATTCGACTCATCATCCCTCTCTGTATGCAACGCTAAAATCAATTCGCAAGTCTGCCCTCTCTATTCCGAATCGCCTCACCTCGGTCCTTAGTGATGCGACGTTTGTCAAAGAAGTATCCCATCGGTACAATCTGCCGCTGGTGGCCAACGAGCGTTGTGGTAGCTGGTACATCGACCCAGCTGATAAAACAGGCAGTACGTATTTCAAAAGCACAGACGGCCACCACGGACAATGGGACTTTTCCCCACGCAGACTCAATCTGCAGCTTCTTCCGATCTTATCTGCGTATGGCGGCGCAATCGTGGTCGATTCGACGCGTCGTGGCAAGAATCTGCCAGATGCCTTCAGTAAGACCGTGCCTATCTGGACCGCGGTTGTCAACAAAGCATTGTTCCCAGAAATCCCATCGGCGCACAGACTTCAGACCCCGCCTCCACCAGATGACCTAGGCCATTCTGAGGTATCGCAGATTGAAGCCCGGCTCGAGCATTTCACGAGCACCTTTGCCGGTCTAGGGTTGAACTTAGAAAGTTTGCGGAAGGAATTGGGACGTCCTGTGCGCCTCACCTGGGAGATCAACGGCTATTCTAGTGTTCAAAGTGCTAACGAAGCCGACGTTCGGCCATCAGGCTCAGGGTCTAAAGCCGGGCACTCCTATCACAACCTCGTGCTGTGCTCCGCGTCTCGTCGCGTCCGGGGTGCAGAAAGCTCAGAAGGTGGATACATCCAAGGCGCCGGTGACGACAGCGAGGGTTGGTCGCACGGACTGACCGCAGAGCTCTTCTGGAGATACAGAATGCTGTTGATACAAACTCCCGAAGATGAACTCCCTGCGCTGATCGAAGATCTCCTTGGAAAACAAAGAGAAGCGCATGGCGCAAGTGTTTCCGTTACGAGGATCACTCCAACGTCCAATCTTTATCTTGCAGTCGGGCCAGTCGAAAGCTTGGATGGTTTCGACGTGATTGTCAACTGTCAAGGTGACGCAAAAGGCCCAACATCAAAAGCCGTTTGGTTAAATTGCCGCGATGGCAAACTCGGTAGCAAAGAGCTTCGAGATAAGTTGCCTGGCGTCGTCAGCGTCATCAGCAAACAGCTCCACACGCAACCTCAGAGCAAGATACTGATCACTTGCACAACAAGCAAAGATCTCAGTGTCGGTGTGGCTATTGCGATTTTGTGTTTGTGCTATGAAGACGAAGGTTAGTCAAATTCCGGAGGGCGTTTGACCTGGCAAGATGATTGACATTCGAGATCTAGGACATCTGAGGGAAATCACGGACCAGCCCACTGTCGAGAAGCAACTGGTTAGGCGAAGACTAGCATGGATCATCTGCTCAAAACAAGATGCAAACCCTTCGAGGGCAACGCTTCAAGCCGTCAATTCCTTCTTGATGCAACGTCCGGCTTAACGCTGAAACCGAAGCACCAGAGGAAGGGTGTGAATCAGACCAACACCGTTGCACCCGTTGGCCATGATCAGAGTCAGGAAAGCAGGGCAGCATGTGGAAGCGGCGCCTGGGAATCTTGTGGCGATTGAGGCATGAGTGCGCAGGACTGTGGGTGACAAAGAGCTTCCAGCTTACTGCAGAAGCAACAAGCGATGCCAATGAGAGTGTGGTGGGGGAAAGCTGCAGGCGAGATGGAGGGCGGAAGTGCCAGGTGCGGGTGCGGGCGCAGGTGAGGGCGCAGCTGTGGGCGTCCGGCGGGACCCAAGGCCACCAGAGGCTGGGCCGCATGATTGCATCATCACCATCATCACTCCTCGATTTGGAGGATGCGGTTTATACAACAAAAAATACCACGCTGCCGCTTCTGAAATCTCAAGGCTTCTCCCAAGTTTCCTCGTCGCTGGATCACGCCTTTTTCTCTCTCCGTCGCAATGCCTCCCCTCTCTTTCAGCGATACCCTTCCTCTACCTAACACCACCATCCACATACCCCGCCTTGGCTTCGGAGTCTATCAATCCCCTGCAACTGTCTGTGAACAGTCATGCCTGTGCGCTCTACAAGCCGGATACAGACACATTGATACCGCGCAGTTCTACCACAACGAAGCTCAGGTTGGGGAGGCGCTGCGTAAATCAGGAATTCCGCGCTCCGAGGTGTTCGTCACCACCAAAATTCTCTCTGCAGCAGGAAGCGTTGAAAAATCATACAAAAAGTGTCTCGAAAGTGTGGAGAAGATCGATCCGGGACGTGATGGCTACGTAGATTTGTTCTTGATACACAGTCCCAATGCGGGAAGTAGCAAGAGAAAAGAGATGTGGCAGGCTCTTGAAAAATTGTACGAGAAGGGAAGGGCTAAGAGCATTGGTGTGAGCAACTTTGGTGTTGGACATATTGAGGAGATGAAAGAATATGCAAAGATCTGGCCGCCACACGTCAATCAAATAGAGGTATGATGAAGGCTCCTCTTCTCATCAAGCTGCTCTGGTCTTGTCAAGATATGGGGATGGAAGCTGACCACATTTCTGCTAGTTGCATCCATGGTGCCAACAACGAACCATCACCGATTATTGTCAGAAAAAAGGTATCATCATCGAAGCCTACTCGCCGCTGGTTCGAAATTACAAGGCCAACGATGCCACATTGGTCTCCTTGGCCCAGAAATACAACAAGACCACGCCACAGATCCTCATCAGATACTGTTTGCAGAAGAACTGGGTACCTCTGCCGAAAAGTGATACTCCGGATAGAATCAAGCAAAACGCCGACGTTTATGACTTTGAATTATCTCCGGACGATATGGAGGCGCTGGATGCATTGGACCAAGGGGACGCAGGGGCGATTGTTCAAGCTGTGCGCAACGATTAGGATGTGCGACCTAGCCAGGGCCGCGTTAATGACGGCATGAGGCGAAGGCTGTGGAGAGGAAATTGCTTTATCCAAGCGTGAAGGTGAAGCAATGGTGCCAGTCCAAAGCAGCCATGGATCCCCTTTCCACTCTTTGCTGCGCAGCTTCGTGGATATGATCGTCACTGTCGTTGCTTCCTGAAAACCCGAATGTGTCTGATTGCTTTCTGTTGTGCTTCAGTGTCTTCGGCAGGACCATTCAAGTAAGAGAGCGCATGCCATCTGGCAGGATCAAACCGCCTCTAATCGTACCAGCCTTCTAGTTCTCGGTAGGCAGCGAACCAGTTTCATTCGTCCAAGTTCAAATTTGATTACCTTTTATTACAGATCCGGCGATACCTCGGACTGCGCACATGTTTAGTACATAGTCAAAAGCAGACATCTCCCCTGTACAGAGCCATGAGTTGTATCCTCTAATTGACGAGACCGTACAGTCTGCAGCCTTGATTTAGGTCTAGCCATCATAAGGAGCCTCCACATAGGATCTGGTCAAGGAACGCCCGCCTTCTCCATCGCCCTTTATCCAACGGAGCAACGCTATACCAGGGTGTGCATGACCACCTTGCTGCTACAAATCAAATACAAGACTGTCCAAAAAAAAGACCATTTCCTGGTACATGCCGAACGACAATTTCTTGTGCACCACACCGTATTCCGCAGTGCGTCCGCATATGAGGTTGCTTGTCAGAAGCTCTGCATTGAGGACTCGGCAGATTCTCTCTCCCAACATTTTCGTCCAAGACCTCTTGCGAGATCTTGGGGACAGGCTGGCCTGAATCATCGGAATCTAATCAACCGCCGTCAAACGCTTTCGATGGACTTGTACGACAGCCACAAAGTTAGAGCGGCGACTAGACAGGACCTTGTCGTCGTCGGGATCCTTACTGGAAGAGGCGAGGTGGCATCAAACCCCAGGCGGCCAGCCCAATGCCATGATTTCCATATCATAATCACGACGACAAGCGGCATGAAAGCAGCAAGAGGGTCTTCTAATCTACGGCGATTAGTCTTGGTTTTGCGGGTGCTTCACGAAAGACCTGCGATTACTCAACATCAACTAGGGAGCTCCAAGCCTTGTCCACCACATTCTTGTACCAGACTGGGGCTCAACTGCTACCGGAAAATGTTGAGGACGCCTCTTGCAAACGATTGGGGAGCGGTACTGGCTGGAGAGATGGGTTGAAGCTGGTTGCACAGATGTACCTGTGTCCTTCCTTCGATGGAAGTGTTCGACGGGACCAGGGGACGGTAGGCAAGTATAAAAGTCGACAAATGCCCTCTTCATCTTGTATCCTTCTGAGATATAGCATTGCAAGATCGTCTTTGCCCATGACTTCTACTGGACCGGCTTAGATTTGTTTAGATACACAGCTCCAGCACTCAAACAATATCAAGATGTCGACAATCCCCAATACACCTGTCGCTTCTGGCCCCAGCATCGACGAGCTGCTTGAGCGTAATAAGTCAGTGATTCTCGAGCGCTCAGAGTCTCCGAGTCTCAAACCAGCTCTATTTGTCCACACGGACTTCTAGTTGACATGAGTACAGGCAATATGCTGCTGGGCACAAACCTATTCCCACTTTAATGGATCGGGTGAGAAACGATGCCAAAACGAACGGTCCTCATGTCTTGATCGGTAGGATGGGATCCTTCCAAGGCCAAGGAAAGCGGTGACACTGAACAAATTCCAGTCTCATGCCTCGATTCTCGGGCCAATCCGATGACCTTTTTGAATGTTCAGGTCCGGGAATGTCTTGTGTTGCGCAACGTAGCAGGACGCTTCGCCTCGGTTGCAGAGGACATTGCTGCCCTCGACACCCTCTTTCACATTTCTCAGATCATCCTCGTCCACCATAACGATTGCGGCGCGTCGCACGTAACAAAGCCCAAGATTCTCGATAGAGTCCACAAGAAGAGGCCCGAGTACACGGCATTTGCAGAGCTCGAAGAAAGACTGCCAATGAAGGAAAATAACCGCGATTCACTGCTGGAAGACCTCGAAAGAGCCAAGAAGTGCGGGTTCCTCAGGACAGATCTGATCGAGGGCATTGTTGGGTTGTGGCTCGATGTTGACACCGGGCTGGTAGAGAGAGTGTATCCCGAGGATAACTGAGGCAATGAATGGTTCACAGGGCATTTCCAATACGAACTTCTCTCGCTCAAACTCCAATTCACGTGCAGATGGAGGACAAATAGGAGGAGGGCTGCAAAAGTGGGTTAGCGAGACAACATCTCCATATTTGTGCATCCGCGTTACAGACAAGCATTGATGATCTCAACTGTCTCACAGTGTACGCGCAAGCTACCATTGCAGCATGGCTCTTGTTCCGTCTCTCTGATGTAGATTTTATTTCTTAATGTCGAGAACGTCGCTCCTTGAGAATCCCGATGACAGACCATCACATTGTTTTCTCTGCGGTTACTTCTCTGTTTCAAGAATACTCAGGGTCCTTGCAATTGGTACGTCTTCCTCAACTCTTGAGGGAGTATAGTCTTCCTCGTTGTCTTACGCACGTGATAGATGCGCTGCCAATTGCACCCTGAAGGGCCAGTACCATGGCCGCGATTCACCGCAATTGTCTTTTCTGCCAGAAGAAGCCTTGGACCGACGGAGAGCTCGAGTTGCTCAACTGGTACAGTGTGAACCTCAACGGCCGCTTGGACACCCGCGTCTGCTTTTTTCACAATCAGAAACAGATCCAGTGCCTGCGGAGGGTGCGCGGTCGGGCGCAGCAGGAATCTCGGCGGCGGAAAGTGCCTGTCGAGGAACTGAAACAGAGGATCTTCATGGATCATTATCGAGAGATGAAAGAGGACGAGAAGACCTCGAAGTCTTGTATTTTGATGTGAACGACAAAGGCCACGATTCAAAGGCGCTCTTCAGGCACTTGGGTGTGGCAACGAATACCGAGCAGCTCTGTACATAAGAAAGAACAACCTTTGGGTGGGTTGCTCTTTGCCCTTTTGTCATTTGGCTGCTCACCTTCTCGCCTGCTCGCCTGTTGCCTACACATGCCTCACCATTCACGCACGCACTCTCTCACACGCGATGATTCTTTCAAATGGTCAAGCTATCAGCTCATTGAGCTCACACGACCCGATCAGGTATTTGGAGCGTAAGTTGTTCCGAGTTGCTTTGCTCTCCTCCAGCAGTACATCCAGTCACTTTTTGTGGCCTGAACCCGCGTCCATCTCCCACATCAATTCTCCTCGCCCACATCAAAGTACCATAGCATCGAAAAATGCTTCATCGACATCTTCAAAGCAGCTACGAGCAATACAAGTCAGATACAGAGTATATTACAACATGGCTCGCAACCACTGCCAAATACTGTGGCTTTACCCTGAACCTAAAAGTCTTAGAAGAGGAGCCCAAGTTAGAGAAACTGAAAGGCAGAGCGAGGATGCTGGCGAAGCAAGCCGCAAAGGCGGAGACCACAAACCCAGGAACACAATCAAGGGCTTACGCAGTTCTACTGAAATATTTTCTTCCTATGGCGCAACGAATCGTGGCTTTCCAGAAGCCTCCAGTCCAAGTTCCCAACAGCTTTTGTCAAGATCCTCGACGGGGCCATCTCCCTGAGAAGTCGGTGGCGGTGTGCTTAGGAAACCATGATGGAGCTGGGTCATCCCGCAGCCCTACGGACCAAGAATCCGATACAAGACACTCTTTCTTCACACCCACACTTGAGGACGTCAGAGAAGCACTCGGGTCCCGGACTTCGTCATTGGCCAAGAATAAGAATGAGACAGCTCAGCACAACACCGCTGAAGCCAGTGCCGCAACAAACCTGGCGAATATGTTCTCCAGCCTTGAGGTCGAAGAGCCATCCGAGGCCGATCAAGAGAGCCCCTTACAGTCGGTACCTAGGGCAGAAACCGCGAAGCCACAGACTCGTTATCAAGCGGAAACTTTTGATGACCCCGAGGAACCTTCCATTATGCTTATGTGCCTGGTGACAGATTTCGCTGACATTCGCGATTTTGTCGCCGAAACTTGGTTGGGCTACAAAGAAGAGCTTTTGGACCTTGTCAGCGCCTCCCTCACAACAGATACAGCCATGGAACTGGCACGTGGTCTGGAAGAAGCGCAACAGAAGCTTTTTGCGGCTCATGGAGGCGTGCAGAAGCTGCTCCATATTTCTTTTGTCGCCCATTGTATAGAAATTTTGCCAGAGATCGGAGGCTTCACAATCGCCCAGCTGTCTCTTCATGCGGTCCTCGGAACCTGAAAGTCGGAGCCCCAGTCCGCCGTATGGTTTTGTAAAAATATCGTGAGGGTGGTGAGCCGGCGAACATGACAACGAAGGATGTTGATACCATTGTTAATAAGAGCAGTTGGCTTGCGGTTGAAGCTCCAGAAGATGAGTCCAGGCTGGCAGTCGAGCCCCAGTCCGAGGTCGAGGCCAAATCCCGTATCAGGAAAGAATGGAATGCTATACAACGGATCACCGTTCCGGAGCTCCTTCGCACTCTCAAGAACGACGCTGCAAGTTGAGATCATGGAATTTTCATTTGACTATTCCATGATGCACCGCCAATGTTGGTTATTGAGGTTGGTCAAGGCGGTGATCGGCCCTCGCATGCAGAAGCTCTTTGGTCCCGGGTATCTCAAACAGACGCCCAACTGCCATTTCTTGTCGTCTACATTTTCATGACGATGAAAAAGGATGCGACGCTGGCGAGGTGGGTTGGACGTCGACTTCCTCTGCCACGGTGTCGTCCCGCTTCTTGAGAGCTGTTGGAAGTAGCGGCGGAGAGGTTGGACAACATGGTTTCTGCGAATCGTGGTGGCATGATTTCGACCAGTATGTGGAATGTTTACAACATGAAATCCGTAGTCGAGCAGAAGGACGATGAGCGCCGCCGCAGCGCCGACCTCGAGGGTGATCAACTGGTGGTCAGTGGTTGATCAAGTTGAGAGCTGGTGGCGGGTCTCGATTTGCATCGAGTCTCTACAGCAACATCAAGCTGGTGAGCAGTACAATGCTCTGATGGCCACCTTCAATGATGAAGAGCTTACTGACTACCCGATATCAAACGCCGCACCGAACCGTCAAGCCACCTTCACCAAGGCGATCGACACCGTCGATTTGAAAGCAGTGCTGTCAGCTCACTTCTGACATCCAAGAGGCTGTCATGATGTATCGCTCTGGTCAACACTTGGTAGATGGCATCGTATGGGAGACGTGCCCTTTACACCCACGGTCAAATGCATACACATATTGTCATCCCTCTTCGTCACCGATGAGGAGATAGGGTCTCTGTTATGGGTTCCCTCGTCTGTGCCTAGTCGTTGAGCAATAGTCATATTCCTCTTCAATCCAATCTAATGCATACCCAAGGCTACCGGCCCCTATTTTATGTGTTTCCAACAAGAGGTCAGGGGAGACATTAGGACTCAACTTCCTCGGTACTGCATTTCTTACCGAACGCATTTCTTTCATATCAACGCTATATAGAGGAAGTCTAATAGTCTACGGCAACAACGACGGTCATATACATCGGAAAGTTGATGAAGTGTGGAAAAAGTGTCCGACTTTGAGCAACTCATTCAACTGTACGAGGTAGAGAGAAAATGGCCCACAATCGATGACTAAGTCGACACTCACCGAATTGCTGGTGGGAAATGCATCCGCAAGACTGCGAAGACTCCAACTTGTCAATCACTTCCACAACCCGTTATCTCGGCGACACCCTCGTTTTATGTATAGGTCTTAGGTGATGGTGATGTAGTGGGAAAAGCACGTGTGCCATCTCATTGGGTCGACAGGCTATCGCACAACTCCTTGCTTCCTGCAATGACCTCGACGCATCTGCATCGCTCCAAGCACGCTCAGCAATGGCCGTGCTTGATTCGTCCGCTTCCACCTCAGCCTTGCTCAGGGCCCTGTCCTCTGCTGATATGTTTTCGCCATATTATATCTGGGCTCCCTGGCAGCCGAGGCAGTAAAAACAGACAAGAATTGTGGTCACTGCATCTGGCTGCTATCCACAGACTGAGAAGCGGGTAACGGTGTGAGAACACAGTGTTCTTGTGGGTGATCACCGGCACCTTGGCTACTACATAGGTACTATGGCTACCACGGTGTCTGTCTCCACTCGCGGCCACATGTCGTGAACTATGCCAGACTGACGCTGCTGATCCAGGCTACCACGAACATCTGAAACCACAGAGCAGCAAGAGTACGAGGAATCCATTCTTCGCCAGCACTACCCAGAAAGTCGACGGAGGCACGACCTGAGCCATCTCGCTGAGGAGGAAGGAATGCCCGAGGAAGACGACGATGAAGAAGTGCCCAGTAACAAAAGCCATCCTTCTTCGCCTGAGCAGAGCTCGACGGGGATTACGGGGGCACGTGCCAAGGTCAAGGGCAAACTCAAGTCCTTCTGGAACAAGACCATCGTCCCAACCTTTCCCGAAGCTGTTGCGGATATCTCAATCATCAAGGCCGCGTTAAAGGTCGAGGCTACTATCACCAAGGAGTTGAGGGATACAACGAGGCATCCCGAGGTCGCTCAAAAGGCAACGGTAAGGAGGGGATTTGACCTTGCCCTAGAGGAAATACAATTTCGTGAGCAGAGAAAGGTCAAGGTGCGGGATGCTTTTTGCCGTTATCTCAACCTCGATCCCTCCGAGGTTCATGTTGATGACGTGCCGGTTGTAGCTTTTGGCGGATCAGGGGGAGGATATAGGGCCATGATCGGCTTTCTGGGATACTGTGAAGAGATGAAGCGCACGGGAATGTGGGATCTGTTGACTTATGTTGCTGGTGTGAGTGGTAGTTGCTGGGGCCTCGCCGCCTACTACACCTGGGCTGGTGCGAGTATGAAGGCAGTGATTGACCATTGCCGGAAGAGACTGCATCCACACCACCCCTTGTCTCCAGAAGCAGTTCGCGAGGTGCTGAACGCCCCTGGTGGCCCAACGAAGACGCTCGGCCCCTTGATTCAGAAGCACCGCTCAGGGTTGTCAACTGTGGCCATGGATTTGTATTCTGTCTTCACCACGGGCCATCTCTTCCTGAATCACGATCCCGCCCTAGAGCCACCGGGCCTACGTGGGAGCTTTGGTGTCAAAAAGGAGGTGGCAGGCTTTCATGAGAACTGGCTAAAGTGGTCATCGGCAAATATGTACCTGCTAGACGGCAGCGAACCATTGCCCATATTTACCGCAATCCGGCATGAACGCCCCTGGAAGGACTGGGTAGACAAGGAACATCCCTTTAAGAACGAAGATCCAGAAACGAAGGAGCATCAAGAGGCCCAGGATGCTTGGTTCAATTGGTTTGAAATTTCGCCGATCGAGGTTGGATGTGACGAGCTGGAGGCTTGGTGTCCAACTTGGGCGTTTGGCAGGCCGTTCGAACAAGGCCACGATACCATGCAACTTCCCGAGCAATCTCTGGCATTGCTACTGGGTCTCTGTACCAGTGCGCCGGCGGGACCTTTGACTTCCTACCTGGCGACCATCAAGCGCAGTCTCCCGGCGGGATTCATTGGCAACTCCATCAATGACATGGCTAGAGGAATCGCGCGGCTGTGGGGGCCAAAGGGAAAGGAAGAGTTTCAAGCCCATCATCCGCTTCATGCTGTCAATGAGCACAATTTCATGTTTCACTTGTCCCGGGGTGAGAACAAGGACAAACCGTCACCACCAATCGAGAATTCCCCTCGGATTCACCTGATCGATTCAGGGATGGATAACAACTGCCCGACGTATGTCATGCTGCACCCTTCTCGGCAAGTCGATGTGATTTTGAACATGGATGCGTCCAGCGACGTCTTGAAGGGCAGTTTCCAGGAGCGGGTGGACCAGATTGCCAGCCGACGGTGCCTGAAATTCACCAAACGGCACCCTGAAGTGGAAGCTGGCACAGACCCCAAAGATCCGGACCGCTTCAAGGGCTTATATGCACAGATCTACGACGGTAGCATCCTCGAAGAGAGGCCGAAGCAGGTGATTGACTCTTACGGACACGAAGTAACCAATCCCCCGGCACCGCCATGCCTCCATGAATCAACCATGATCTATCTCCCGTTGCTACCGAACCAGGGAGCAGTGGCCGATTTTGATCCTTCGACCGCCAAATTCTCCGGCTCGTATAACCTCGTGTGGACTGGTGAGCAGGTAGAGATGCTGGTCAAGGTATGCTGCGCCAACTACGAGGCCGGCGAAGATGCGATAAAGACAGTCTTGAGGGAGCAGTGGCAGAAGAAGAGAGCAAAGAGAGAAGCCGCTGGCGAATCCTCTGCTTCGCTTCCTCCAGCAGGCCCTATTCCTCCTCCTCCTTCAACGCCTTCAGCTGAAGCACATACCCAGTAACCGTGTGCTGGCTTTGTGTACAAAGTCGGATGGCGAGGCCCTGTTTGAATTGGATCAATGCGAGACTTTCTTCAAGCACTAGAAATACAGTGTTGATGAGGATTCGGAGCTCACCGGAGATGATTGCACGGACCATCAGGTGATGATAACATCCTACATATTCAATATATTATACCCTTGTACCACCCACATGGAATCCCCGGACCACCTGGCACTGCCCTCTGACCACTCAAGCTTCGGCGGCGTCTCCAGGCCAAGAGACCAGCGTGCGAAAACCTCGGGCCCCAACGGCCGGGTCTGGACCCCAGCGTCCCCAATTCTAGACCCAAGACCTCTGAGGAGGTTTTTCTGCAAGGCTAGGCGTTCTAAAGGAACAACGATCCGGATCCTCGTGGCGAACGTGTCTCCTAATAATGGAGAGGCTGCACTTGATGGCCATGGATTTCCTCCACGATGGACCATTAAGTCAACTTGTGGAATCCAATTCCTGCTTCACGTTCCCTGGCGTTCGCAATAATGAGTTGGATGGTTGCAATACAGCCTTCCCTGGTTACCGGTACTTCTCTCAGCCCGCAGTCGAGTACGACTGGGGTTGACGCCACACCCCCCACGAGTTCCAAGCGGAAGTATACATCGACGGCATGCGAGTACTGTCGCTTCAAACGGAAACGGGTGAGTCGCTTTCTCGGGTGTATATGAATGCCTCGATTACTTGTGGCTTGTTTCGAGCTGACCTGTTCTTCTTGCTTCAGTGTGATGGTCAGCCTCGTTGTCGCACATGTGTCGACGCCAATAAGCAATGCGTGTATCGCTTCAACGACAAGAGAAAAGCGAGCGTTCGACAGGAGGAAATCCAGCTTCTTGAGGCCCAGAACGAGGAGCTGCGCTCCTTGCTCGACGTGCTCAAATACGGCAGCGATGAGGAATCTCTAGCGGCCTTGCGAGCCCTCCGTTCCCCTCAGGCAACGACACCTGGTCGACGGTCCTCGAACCTCCTGTCTGATGTATATGGCGTGTCTCATCCAGATTTACCCTCGCTGTCGCCGGAAGACATCGAGCATTTCCGGGCAGATCAAGGAAGTCGACAGTCTGGTTCTCCAGCCCAGCCTTCATCTTGGCCGTCGCTCAGATTCTTCAACTATCCATCTATCTTCAACCCGAGCCAATTACCGCCTGAAGGTGACCTTCGGAAAGGCGCCGACATATTTCTTCAAGTGACGGCTGGCTTGTTCCACATCATGACCATGGACGAGTTTGACCAGCTTTGCGATCAGGCGTTTCGGCCAATATCGCCACCAGACACTTTCATCGTCGCCAAAATTTGCGCTGTAGGCGCCATTGGTGCTCACTTCAATGTTGACGACACCACTGGGGAACTCAAAGACGCCCTCTTCCACACCGCCATCCACCACATATCCGAGATGGTTGAGCTGCGCAACCTGCAAACCGTCAAATATCTTGCTTGCCTTTGCGCGTACGGGATGGTCGACAAGCGAAAGAGCACTGCGCGATTAATTCATCTCAGTCTGCAGATCGCGCGGTGGAACATGGCTCTGCCGGAACATGAGCTCATGGGAGATGCCTACGAGTGGAGCAGGTTGTATCGAACAGTGACTTTTTTTGAATGGTATGTACATTCTGCGTCGGGCCCTGTTTCCTCGCCGTTTTATTACTGACTAACACTTTTTAGCTGGCTATCAGCGTCGTTGGGCTACCTGAATGACATGTCTGAAGAGACTGAGCCTCTTGCATCCCCCACGGCCGCAATATCCAGGCTTCAAGACGACAACGTGACGCAAATCAAGGCGAAAGAAATCATGAATTTAAAGGCCCGCGTGTGCAAAGCGTCGTGCGGTCTCGATCCGCCCACGGAGCAGACAATCAGGGACTATATGACCGACTTGGGAGCCTGGTATCAGAGACTCCCACCTCACATGACTTTGACGGTCTTGTTAAACGGTGACGCCAATCCGCTCTCGGCGGCACAACAAGGCGCGCTCCTGCTCTCCCACGCCACGTACTTGGGTGCTGTCATGATGTTGCATCGACGGGTCCTGGTGAGCGTCTCGGATGCTGTGCTCGGCCGGGTCGAGGACACTGATATCTGGAGCACGCCCGTGCAAGAGCATCTGGCTCATTCTATTGAGGCGGCACGGGCCATCGTGCGCATTTTCATCCTGCTTCGCTTCGGCACCGCGACAACAAACATGCACGTCCGGTGTTGGATTTGCATCTTGGAAACCTACACAGCCTGCACCATTCTCTTGTACAACATCGCATTCAGGACCATCCAGCACGTCGCGCAATGCACAGAGATGCAACTGGACCTGGAACGTGTGGCGACCTGTCTCGGCATGCTCAAGGCATCTGCATTGGTGGACAAAGTGTCTCACAGAATGTGGGTGGCATTGGCAGCTGTGCACCATGCCGTTGTGGTTTCCACGGGCCATCAAAGATATCCAGTCTCATCTCTCGAAGTCGAGTCAAGAAACCTTCCGCATCCCCGCCAACTCAGCAGCATGGTCGGGTCGGCGTTTGAGCAATACAGCTCGTCGGCGGCGCCCTCACCCAGGCCGGCGGCCCAGGGTTGTGTGTCTGCCATTCAGGCATTTAAGCGCGCCTCTGACATGTTGCGAGATCCATTTGGCCACGGCCCAGAAGCAGGATTTCGGCTCCTCTCACGCGATTTGAGCGCCGAAGCCCTGGACTGGTGGTCTGCCGTTGCTGCCTGAGACCGAAGAAATTCTGCCACCATTTTCTATCTTTATGTTCAGTTCTTTCATTTGTCTTTACTATGTTTGCTGCTTATTGGGATGGAAAACAGGACATTCCTAGAGGCGGTAGGGTTACTGATACGGTCGACCCGAGCAAGTCTCACCTTGTATATCGTGTCTTACCAAAGGTGGACCCGTGGATTGGAGTCATCTAATTGTTATGGCGTTGTGACTTACGAATAGTATCCAGCTACAACCTCATCTGGGGATACCCTCAGTGATACCATGCATATCTGAAATGGATTGAAACCTCAAAGCGTGTCCCCATGCAAGTACTAAGCTCTGCTGTGAATGTAATTGGCCTGTACTTTCCAGAAGTATTCACCACAAGAGTGAACCCAGTTCCAGACTTCATATTCGGCCCTAACTACTGGACATCCTATGCAAATATCAGGTGTGATACAAGGCGACAAGGCTGCATTGCGCGGATAGAGGAAAATACCGCAACGTAGTCTTCTCTAGGGTGGACCATAAATGTTCCACCCAACAAACCTTTTTTCCCTCTTTTTTCTGTTTGTTCAACCTCAACCCTTTGATAACCTACAACCTCAGGAATGAACTCCCCTTGCTACATGCTTGCAGGTCCCTCTTCTGTTTCGGCGATGCCACCATACTCGGAGATAGACGAGGGAGTCTGAGCACCGACCACCGACTACCCATCTTTTGTCAATTCCTCTGTAACCCAGTACCTTACATGTTTTTTTTTTTTTTTTTTTTTTTTTTTTTTTTTTTTTTTAAAAATTCATTTCATTTTCTACTTATAATTAAATCTTCTCTCTAATAACATTCA